GGCGGCGGCGGAGGGGGTGGTGCACAGAGCGCATTGCATGAGCTGGTACGTGCGAGTCCATGCGTGTTCGCAGGTGTCCTCCGACAGGTCCCGTCCGCCGCGTCCCTTCTTTGGGTGTTGGACTGGGTAGCGTTTCGCTGCTGGTTGGTCTCAACTGACGTCTTGCTACCGACTAAACTGCTGCTGATGATGATGTTGCTCCTCCTCCTACTACTATTGCTACTTCATTACTACTACTTCACTTCTATTAGTACTACTAGTATGTTACTATTAACCTGCCATGCGCTCCCCCCCCTGCATCCTTCCCGGGACGGTGATCCGCGTGCCGTGTTGGTTGGCGGTTGGGTGACGCAGTTCGGTTGCCGCCTCGTTACTTTACTTGCCAGCCATTTCCAATGTTTCTCCCTCCCTCCTCCTCCTGCTGCTGCTGATGCTGCTCCTCCTTCTCCTGCACCTGGCCGGTTCAACTCCCACATCTTCATGCTGCTGCTGATGATGATGATGATCATGATGTTGATGTTCCTTCTTTCTCTCCCACTGCGCCCCAGGGCTTGCCGCTCACCGCCCCTGATCTGTCCTGTTTGGAGGTGACGGCGGACGACCACCTTGACCCCGCCGGCTGCTGCCTAAGTGTGTGCGAGGGCATGATTGTCGTACAAGGTCTGGCGAACAGCAGGCCGCTGGCGGAGGGGTGAGCGTGGGAAATCCAAAGGGGGGGGGTAACAGACGGGGGGGAGTTGGGTTCGGGAAGGCTGCTGATTGCGTGGAGGTGGCCAGGGGGGCAAGGAGGGCGTCCCTCCGGGGGAAGAGGTCTGCGCGCTTTGGACGACGCACATACACACATACGCACACATGTTCAGGGGATACATCAGGTACGACAGAGAATGAATGCCTTGGCTTCACACATAGACATACATACATACGCACACACATTCACCTTGTGTTTTATTATTTCATTCTTGCTTACCAGGGTTGTTAATAGTTTAGGGTTTTTGTATAGTTTATTTTTCGTGCTCTTTCCTGCACTGGGGAGAGGGTGAGAGTGTGTGTGTGTGTGTGTGTGTGTGTGTGTGACGAAGCGAATATCAGACGCACTCTCTCTCTCCCGCCAATCATTCGCCTCTGTCCCCATCTCACTATTACTACCACCTCCGTCATCCTTACTGCACAACGATCTCTGTCGAGATCCCTGTTCGATCCCCGCCGCGACCAGCTGGTAATCACTCCGAACGGCGCCGTTCATACGTAAACGAATGCGCATTCGAACTGTATGTCCGTACCATATACCATTCGTGACGTACATTTTGGAATGAAGAATGTTGTTCCCCTTCTCCACAGAAAGAGAAAGATCCCGTACGACTTACTGCTGTCTTCTCTGTTCTCTCATTCCGCCTGACCGCTATGTTTTGTTCTGTTTGTCTGTATGTTTCCCTTTCACGCTTTTAATCCACTGCAGGAGCTTGGTAGTGGCTGAGGACCGCACACCTCTAGGGATGATCGAGGAGGTGTTTGGACCGGTGACGCAACCGCTGTATGCCTTCAGGTGGGTGGATGGGGTGGGAGGATGGATAGGTAGGGTAAAGCTGCTACATGGTAGATTTCTTTCCTTTTCAGTTTTATCTGTTTTCTCATGTTTTTTAGTTTCCGATATTTACTGGAGCGGATTTTTTGCCAGGTCTTTTTGGAAGCTCTTGAGCCGAACTGTGCTTCTTATTTTACCTTCCTACCTTTTACCTCCATCTACTGAAACTATCCATCTATCTATTTTGTCCACGTGTCTACCTGTCTACCGCCTATTGTATCCATGTCGGATTGACTTTTGGAATGCAGGTACGACATAAAGAGCCCCCTCCCCGCCTGCGTGAAGTCCGGGGCGGCGCTGTTCGTGGTGCCGCGGCTGGCGAGACTGCTGACGGCGGACGAAATTGTGGGTGCGGTGTGACAGAGGGTGGGAAGTGGGGGGGACGGCGGCGGGGCGTACGGCAATTTTTCAGGTTTTTAGGGGTTGTACGAACCCCAACAGGAATATCGGAAGAAAGGCCGATCTACTCTATGCATACACAATATGTGTGCTACAGCACCTCCTAGAGTTACCGCGTTACCACCCTCCGGAGGTGTATGTAACCTAGGGGGGGGGGTCCCATACATACATACATACCTGGAGCCCTGATGAGAGGGCCTCAAGGGGCCCAAGGGGGGCGAAGGCTAGTAAAAAACCGCAGTAAAAAAACTGTTATCCGGTTTCTGGAAATGGAATTATATGTACAGCATGTCTGGGTCTATGTGTGTAACAAGTTGCCAGGGAGGCACAAACCGTACTATGTAGTACTGTACCGCATTACTAGCGCATGCTGGAGAGATGCACCTGTGGTGGGGGGAAGACAGGGCGGGTGTGTGGGGTGTTGGGTGGGTGGTTGGAGGACAGCTCCAATATACAGGGGCTTGTCAAATCCATCCCGCGCCTCCTCACGGCTATGTGAATAGCGCAGCAGCTTTAAAGGGCGCGTCAGGCAGCCAGCCGGGCAGTCAGCAGGTTGATGAAGAGCACGATGAAGTCTGTCTGCCTGTCCGTCTGTCTTTGATATCTGAACGGGCACCCAGCTCCGAAACTCCGAGACTTCGCTGTTGCCGCCGCTGCCAGCATCAAACAGCATCCAGAACCAACACAGGCTTCCCGACAGTATTAACAAGGACACAAACAATAGCACCCACCATCAACAACGGACGAAAACAAAGACAGAAACACCACATCGCCTTACTGAGGCACAATCGCTGTGCATCTGCCATATGCCGTTCCCTGCCTCCGCCGTGCCCTTCCCGCAACTCAAAGCGACCCATGGGTCATCCATTGACACAAATTGACGCCACACTGACCCATGGATCATCCACTTGACGCTTGCGGCGCCATACGACCCGTGGGCCATTTTTACAGTTCGGCTCCGGAACCAGGGCTGTTGAGCCGGAGCCCGCATCCGACGACGAGGTGTATTTCAGCGATGACGAAGCGGAGCAGCACTACATTCGACAGGTAGGGGGTAGCCACCACGGGCATGGGGATGTGGTGAGAGGTATGTATGTATGTATGTACGGCGCGTGTGTTGTGCTTGCGCTTTAATGATCTTCGGAGCTGAGGGGAAATGGTGATATGATGCCAAAATTATAACGTCGTACCGAAATGAGCTCCGTTTCGTAGTCCTGGCGGCGACGGAATTTAAGTAGAGTATTGGGAATTTAAGTAGATGAATGCATGCTGGTTAGAAGAGTGGTGCCAGAGGCAGTAGGAAGAAGCGGAGGCGCTGCAGTGGCGAAGGCCGACGAGGGTAAGTATGTACGGCGGGCGGCTGGAACTGAAACACGGACGAGGGCACCAAAACTCCCAGACTGGCTACCTACATAGATAGATCATGGCGCAAGCCGCTGCTTCGCCATTACACCCACCGCAACCGCACCACAAACTCTGGCGGGTTCTAATCCTCCGTAACCTCCATCTTTGCTGCTTTAGCCGCTGGTAGCTTGTCCTGCCCCTCTTCATCATCAGCATTACCACCATCATCATCATCCTACACATCCGTATCACTCACCACCACTGCACCACGCCCGGGCCACGATGTATGTATGTATGTATATGTTTTGCGGCGCTGGCGCACACCACAGCAAGTCGCAAAGCGCAAGGGCGCTCCTGACGGTGGCGGCGCTGCGGAGGGGGCGGCGGCGGCGGCAGCAGCCGCCGATAACAGCGGCGCCGCCGCCACCGCCGTTGGCAGCCGGCCCCGTCAGCGGAGCCGAGGACCAACCGGGCCTAAGGGTACGACGGAATCCCAGCGGCGGCGGTTCGGAACGGCGTACGGCAGCTGGGGGCTGCGAATTAGTAGTTCGTTGGGGCGGTGTTGGACCGTACCGGTGTCAGGCAGGGGCAGGAGGGGGAGGGGGGTATCGGCCCACCCCACCCAGCTTATTCCACATATCCTTCCAGTTTAATATACTTATCCAGCTTTTCCTGTATTCCTTTATTTGTTTTCCATTTCCCCATCATTTATCGTTCCCGTTTTTGGCTCGTTTTGTTCCATAATTAACATCCCCAGGATGCGGCATCCAGTTCCAAGTCAACTCCACGGCAGGTGCTTTGAGCGCCATGTTGGGACTGAACGGAGAGAACAGCTCCGGCGGGCGGGGAGGACCAGGCGGCGGGGGCAGACATGGCGGCGGCGGTCGCCGAGGTGGCGGCGGCAGCGGCGGCCGAGGTGGCGGCGGTGGTGGTCGTGGTGGCGGCGGCAGATCAGGCGGCTGGTCAGGCGGCTGGTCAGGGCATTCGATATCGCATCAGGTGAGCCGAAGAGTACGGGTCTTATTTGCCACTGGGAGGGTGTGTGGTGAGGGTGTTTCTGATTAATCTGAGCGGTGGGTTGTCCCCATTATTTAGAGGAAGCAGTGAGAGGTACTCGTTACAATCCAATAGTGTGCATTCACTACTTTTGCATATGTACGGATAATAATGTCGTACTGACGGCAACGTTCATTCGGTGTGCTTCTCCTGGTGGCGGCGTCGCAGGCGGGGAGAGGGCCAAGTGCTACTGCCGGTGGTGGTAGTGGCGGCGGCGGCGGCGGCAGTGGTGACAGTACCGGTCGATGGATGCGGCCAGTTCGAGATGATGACATCGGACCCCAGCCTGCCGTACAACCGTACGGTCCTCCCCGCGCGTCGCCCCCGCACTATTCCCAACAGTACACGCAGCCACAGCAACAGTACTACGGTGGCAACGACCCACCGCCGCCGCAGCAGCTGCAGCAGCCGCAGCAACAGCCGTACTACAGCAGCGGTAGCGCCCCACGATCACAACAGCCGTACTACGGCAGTGGCGGCGCCCAGCAACCACAACAACCGCACTATGGCAGCGGCGGCGGCCCGGAACCACAACAGTCGTACCATCAGCGGTTGCCGCCTCCGCAACACAGTGGGCCTACATCCGCTGCACCCCCTGTATCTTATCAACCTTCGCCGCCTATGTACGGCGCACCGACGCCGACGGGGTACGGCGCACCGACGCCGACGGGGTACAGCGCACCGACGCCGACGGGGTACGGCGCACCGACGCCGACGGGGTACAGCGCACCGACGCCGACGGGGTACGGCGCACCGACGCCGACGGGGTACAGCGCACCGACGCCGACGGGGTACGGCGCACCGACGCCGACGGGGTACAGCGCACCGACGCCGACGGGGTACGGCGCACCGACGCCGACGGGGTACAGCGCACCGACGCCGACGGGGTACGGCGCACCGACGCCGACGGGGTACAGCGCACCGACGCCGACGGGGTACGGCGCTGGGTACGGCCAACAGGCGCCACAGTCGTATACACAGACAGCGCCGCCGCAGTACCAATACCCCCATCCTCATCATCACTATCCGCCAACAGGAAGTGGAGCCGGTCCAGGACATCCACTGCCGCCGCAGTACGGCAATGGACCACCACCCCCGCAGCACGGGAACGGGGTACAGCCACCACCACACCATCAGCAGCAGCAGCAGCATCGCTACCATCAAGCGCCACATGTGCCGCAGCAGTACGGCGCCGCCGGGCCGCCGCCTCCAGGCCAACCCTGGTGATGGTCTCCTCCTCGCAGTCATGTCCCGTTGGTCGCCTCTCTCGCCTTGCTGCTCGCCCGTGGATACTCCATATGCGTGTCTTGTGTGATGCCTTGTGGGTCTTATAATGTTGGGCCTTATGTGGACTGCTTTTCTTATCTTTTTCCAGCTGCCTTCCGGCGGGCCTTATTTCGTCGACATGAGGGTTGGTTGGGATTGATCGATACTGCTCTTCACTGCTTGTGGCTGGCTATGTGGATAGCGCGTATTAAAAATTGTAAATAAAACTGTGCGTGTATCTTAACAAGTGTTGTGACGATATCGGTTTAATATACGCATACAGAAAAGTCGGAAGCAAACGCGCGTTGAGCCGAGGTGGGTTTGAAGACGTATCTATCGTTGTTGATGAGCTGGTACGGCAGTACGACGGCGTGGGCCGGCTCTGGGTCCGGCAGCTCTTGTCTTATCTCCGTCACAATTTAATTTTTGGGTGAGGCCCTGGGCGTGAAGCGTCTTCGGGGCCCCGAGGCCCCGGGGTTAACTGCTGTCTGTCAGTCAGACAGTCAACGTCGTGTCTCGTGGTGAAATCGCATGCCACGTTTAACTGAGGATTGCATTTAAAAGCTAATACTACAATTCCCCACCGACCACCGGAAAAATAGCTTTCCATCGCCCATGGCTGTGGTTTCCCAGGTGTCCCCGGCCTCGGTGGCGGCAGCCAAAACGCATCCTCAACTTACCACCGCGAATCCCATACCAACCACGACCATCAGCATTAATGAAATGTATGCCGCTCAGCTCCCCAGGGCTCTGCTACACTCCGCCGCAACTCCAGCTCATTCATGCCAACTGCTCCAGCAAGACCGCCCAACTCCGAACAAGACTGCCCATATACATCTTTAGATCTATATAACATACGCAGTACAGAGGTAATTTTCAAAAACTTGGACCAAGTTCAGACACCTTTGCTGAAACGACGGGCATCCCTAACTTGGCCAATCATATGCGACTCGACCCGGTCACTGGCCGCACCGAGGCCGAGCCATTTTCGGCTTCGAAGAAGCTGACTACCCTAGTCGAATTCATATGTCGAAATTGGTATTTGGTTTTCCTTGGAAAGACTCCTGTTTACCGCTTGAGAGGGCGAAGGGTAAAGACAGTTCGTTTGCTAGACTGCCTCCATGGATGTGAGATGGACATGTGACAGGATATAGACAAAAGCGGGTGGGTAGCACATACACACTGGCAGTGAGGGCAGGTAGTTGCTGGGCGAAGGGAGGCTCGCTTGCGTGCAAGGGCCTGTGTGCCCAGATGTGCCCTGGTGCAAAGATGTAGCACCACAGGCAGGAAGTACACGCGGACCTGTAGTAGCTTGAACAGGCGGACGGGTTGGAGGAGGACGGACAGACAGACAGATCGACAGGGCGACGCGGGAAGGCTTGCATGGAAATACCTTGGAGCGACTTCCCTTGTTTTGAAACGGCACCTGAACAGGCAACAGGTAAAACATTTGCTCAGCCAGTTTCGGTGCGAGCAGCGTACAGCAGCCGTGGTCGCGGTGCTCCACAACTTCTCCACCCCCTCTCCGGTAACGGAGGCGGATGGCCCCCTAGAGTTTGTAGGAGAGGGGGAATCAGCCCCTCAGTAAACGTCCAGGAATGAAAACACGGGATGAGACAAACTTGCATACACATCTACACACAAACAACTACAACTACGGACTCATGATATCGCTCTTCTAGTCAAAACATCTACCTGAAAAACTTCAAGCTACATCTACAGTTTCAGTGGAAAAGTCTAATACTTCGCTGGTGACTATTCCGAGCTGTCGCTTTGGTTTGAAGTTAGTCGTGTACAACCACCACAACCACCATCGCCACCTCCCCCATTGCGGCTCCGAAGACCATTAAAACACACACGCATGCATTATCGTGCTCTAGCGCGTCCTCTCACTCCTTTGCCCATAGCATAGAATCATTAGTCCTGGAAACCCCTGGGGCCCATGATTGTATTGACTGTATTGACTGCCACCTTGACAAACTCAGCAAATGCCGGGGACTACATCCTTCGGTTCAAAGTTGCGTGTGTGCCATCACCCTTGCAACCTCCTGTTCGAGATTCAGTTCTTTAATATTCATACCCACACAAGCCTAACACACACTCAGACACATACATACACACACCTCGCTTCATCATAGGGCAACACGGACGCGCATACACTTTTCCCTCCCCCCACTCCCCCTCTAATTAATAACTTAATCACAAATGCTAGGTGAACATTAGCTCTCATTAGCTCGCATTCAAGGTTCCAGTTCAAGCAGCGCTTTGCTCGCGAAGTTCAGCTGACCGAATGCCAGTGGCGCCTGCGCACGAGCATCCGCCAGGTGCTCGTCCAACGACCTGTACGGCAACCGTACGACTATTTCACAACTCCTGTCTTCCTTTACGGATGCACTCGCGGAGGCTTCCGTCGTCGTTGCCGCAAACAGCAGCGGCACCAGAAGCTCCGGATGACCGGGCCGCCGTACATATAATGTACGGCCACACACGTCGATCGCCACGTCCGGTGGCTGTAGCTGCTGATGATGACCGCCAGAGGTTGTTGATGTGGCTGTCGCAGCACCTTGAGGCAACTCCAATGTAACCAGAATCCATTCCACCGGCCGGCCCTCGTATTCAACCTTGTACGACAGCCCTCCGCCGCCGCCGCCATCCCCTAACCCAGTACCCTTCGCGGCTGTTGCTACCGCGACTGCACCTGCTGGCGCTACTGCGCCCAGCTTGTCCCCCCCAGAGCTACTTACTCCTGCGCGTTGTGGCGCAGCAGCGGTGGCGGCGGCGGCGGCTTGCTGCTGCTGCGATGGCGGCGGTGGTTGGGTGGCTGCCTTTGTCGTACGCAATGCGAACGCGGGTTCTTCATCCACGTCACGTAGCTCCGTAACCAGCTTCTTCTTCCTGTGGCAGTATGAGAGAAGTTGAGCGACACAACACCTTGGTGACGGACGTGGGGTTAACAATCCGGGGTAGGGGCAGGTGGAGCTGGCGCTACACCTCAAAAAGCTCCCCCCCCTCCCCCCCGGCGCCCTCAGCCATTGGTGCTTCGGTTAACATCGGTTCGCATTGGCCCTGGTGCAACCCTTACTGCATACAAGTCCTCCTCCCCCACCTTTCCCCCTGACGCATCTGTCTTTCCTTGGCATCAGCTTCATTCGCTCGTCGCTCGTCGTCCCCTTCCCCTGAACCCGGCCCTCCTACCCCCTCCCCCCGCGCCTCTCCTTTGCTTGGTTAGGTTAGGGCGCTGACTCACTTGTCTTCTGCTCTTATTCTTTGCGTGGCCACCACCTCCCCCTTGTACCGCATCTTGGGCAGCTTGTACCTGGGGTCCAGCTCCACGGATAGCTTGTTGGCCACCCAGCCGGTAGCCACCTCGATGAGCATCGCCTGCCGGGACCGACAGGAGGGGGAGATGTCGTACAACGTGCAGAGTGGGGGAGATGTCGTACAACGTGCAGGGTGGGGGAGATGTCGTACAACGTGCAGGGTGGGGGAGATGTCGTACAACGTGCAGGGTGGGGGAGATGTCGTACAACGTGCAGGGTGGGGGAGATGTCGTACAACGTGCAGGGTGGGGGAGATGTCGTACAATGTGCAGGGTGGGATGACGATAATGATGGTAATCATGATGATAATGATGACGACGATGATGTTGATGATGCAAGCGGGGAGAAACGGAAACTATAAGCCACGCAAAAGACACAGGAAGAGCTGCTGAAGTAAAAAAAAGTCCTGAAGAAATGGGTGGGGGGAGGACGAGGAAGGAGGAGGAGGAAGTAGGAAGAAGGAAGGCCGGCATGTGACACGGGGTTGGGAGTCCAATAATGAGGGAAGGAGTTCTTCCTCCTCCTGAAAATACACGCACACACACAGACACAGACGTTTTTGGTTTCACTACCTTGAGTTTCCGTGCCGCAGCAGCGGCGCGCACCACGTCCGAGTTGAACACCACGTCGACTGCCGTACAGGGCGCGCCCTTGCGATCGGTTTCGGAGCGAGGCGGTCCGCAGGAGAGTGGGAAACGCAGCGCCTCCACTTCCCCTGGAGTCATGGCTGCGGCTCCATCCTCGCCGCGCTTTGTACGACATTGACGTACGGATTGTTGTACGACCCAAGCCGGATCCGGATTCCATGCATCAGGTGCAGGAGCAGCCGCAGCAAGGATATGCACGCGTACATCAGAGCCAAAAGTAATGAAATTTTTTCTATACATTTCCAACAAGTCCCACTCGCTGTAAATTTAGTGCTAGCGTTGTGTGACCGATTGGCGCACGTATACACACACACACACACACACAGCGGCCTAGTACATCGTTACTACAGGCGACGTCCAAAGAGAAGAGAGACTCGAGCTCTTTCCCTCCCTCCCCAGCTGCCCTCTCCCCCTCAGCCCCACCCTACCTGCAACTTATCCAATGCCGCCGCCACCTCATCAGGCATGACGCCATTGCTCCAGCCGCCGGGTGCCGCCACCCGCTCTGAGCAACACACGTTAATAAACACCTGCGACAACATTTAATTACATAAAACCAAAAAAACCCAATTTAAACTTTAGGTTCTTTTCCAAGGGATCCTCCCAAAAATATTCTCTCCAGGATTTTTCTCTTTCCAACTTTCATTTCACTGGTGGTAGTTTTCGACCTCTCAACACACCTTACGTCCTGACGCCACCTCGCTGGTCTTGATCACAAAGCTGTGGGGAAATGGACGAGCGTATGGTTTGAAAACTCGTACCGTCGTACAATCGCATAGTGACATGTGAGTAGGGTTATGCCTAGGCTTAGATTGGAAAGTTATATGATATGCGGAAGGAGTTCTTGTGAGGTTTGGACCTTCTGGTAGTGTAGATGGATGAATGCGATGATACGAGTTGTTTTGACTTTCGCAAGATGCCCCTGAATTCGGACATCATAACGGCTGCATTAGCAGCGGTAACAGTTGTACAGCACTAGAAGCCGTACACCAGAAGCATTAGCAGCAGTACAGCATTACAAGCAGCAGCGGCGGCGGTCAGGTAATCGCCTCGCAAACAGCAAACAGCAATAACAACGCCAGGGCCAGGTCCAGGCCTGGCCTTGGCAGCCGCGTCCGCTGTTGCTGTGTATTGTGCTCAGGCAGCAACCCCCTTTCCCTTCCCCCTTTCCTCCTGTAATTATGCTTTGCACCAAACAGTGCAAAAAGAGGAGCTGTGCGGCGATTGATTTCCTTAGCTGGTTGATTTCCTTGCCGTCGCCTTCGCAGCTGTCCGGTGCTACTGCCGCGGCCTCCACTGCCGCTACTGCTGCAGCCTCCGCTATTGCTACACACTGCTGCAACTGCCGCCGAATCGGACCCACCCGGGTGTCGGTGTGATCTCTTCCGTGGGCGCATCGGGGGGAGGTGCCGTACCAGCCTTCGCCGCCTTTTGCTTCTTCACATTTTCCAGCATCGTCTACAAACGGAGAACGCCAAGTCAACAGAGGGCGACCACGGAGCTCGAGAGAAAAGGGATATAGAGGCGGGGACGCGAACGGCCCTAACCGGGGCAAGGTTCAAGGAGGTCAAGGTTCCGTGGGGAGCAGCATCGTGCTCCATGAGCAGGGATTTGGGTATCGTCAAGACATGGCTTGGGTAGCCGTCAGGTGAAAAAGTTTTATAGCTGGCGTTCATAAGCCCCGGGGGTCGCTGCACCGGACTGTTCGTGCTGAGGTTCCATGGACTTGCCTTAAGATCAGGCGGTGCTTGGTCCATGTTTAGCCCTTGCTGCTGTAAGAACTCGACCATGGCCAGAAGCTCCTCTGGCGATGGCGCCGGCCCTTCACTTGCCGTTTGTGCCGGCCCGGCCTGTGGTATCATGTTTAAAGATTGGAGCTATCGACGATGATGACGTAGTTGAGGTGCTGGGTTTCGGGTAAACTCGTCCTAGCTGAGACAGCGAAAGGAGAACCGCTATCAAGCGCAAAGTGCTGTAGTCCCAACGTACACAGCACCAGTGCTCCAGAAACAAAATACATAATCTGTTTTGATAACATGCTAGATCGCCAGAAGTAAGCACATTTCGGTTGCCCTCGAAGTCGTACCACAGTTTGGCCGGTAGCTTGCTCCCAAGCACTGTTTGCACTGTTTGATGCACATCCTTTTTGATGCAGAGCACTTTGCAGCCCCAGATATACAACAGAAGAAATTAGCTCAGCCGAGCCGATAATCGCTCCCTCTCGTAGTGTAGTCTTGCTTGTTCCGCATGCTCTTGCTGCCTTAGGGTTGCATAGCTGCTGGGTAGACCTATCTGCCAGCCATGAGCAGCAAGCGGGTGGGTCAAATGAAGCCGGCACGAATGACCGATAGAACAATCCTCACTTTTCGTTCTACATGAACCCCAGAGCGGGCGATCAGCCTTGAAAGCACAAGCTCAAGATGAAGCTGTTAATGGAGAACCCATGGGGGATCCAGCATCCCCACCGGACGGAGGAAGGGAAGGCGAGGACGCGCCTGCGCAAGCACCACCGCCACCTGCGGCTGCCGAAAAGAAAGGACCAGTTGCTGTTGGTCGATCGTTAGAGGTAAGGTATGTCGCATCATGACATGCAGAGCACTTGCACTTAACTTTGGCGACATGCGTACTGCTTGCAGATACAAACAACGCCAGATGTCTGTATGGTAAGTCATGCATTTTATGGCATCTATATCGTCATGCAATGGACTAGCTTTGACGTCGCTGACTTTGAGTTTTCTATCTTCAGGAAATGTTGGCGGATAAGCTGAAGCTCCTCAACTACGAGGCAGATTTTTGCAGAAAGAAGTGGGTGTTTTTGTCCCCAAATTAATCGGCCGTGTGACAGTTTGCCGGTTTACCACTAATGGATGCTCCGCCCGCATGTCCACCCCTTTCGCAGGAAGCCCTACCGGAAGCCACTCGCACGCTTATACTTCGCAGTGCCGATGTCAAACTCCAGCGAGCAGTTCTTCTACTTCACTAGCTTGGTGCGCAGGGGCTCCCCGGGCCAGCACTTGCAGTTGACGGATTGAACCCGTACAGCCTCGTGGGGGGCCACGTAAGCCAGGACCAGGGCTACTTTACAAGGCACCCAATCATACCCGTGGGGCCGGGGTTTCTGCAACGTTGCAATTTGACCCACCTGCTGCCGTCGCGTGGCATTGTCCGCGCTCGTCACGCCACGGCACGGAGCCGCCCGCACGCCCTCCCCCCCTTGTCCCCGTGCATGTCCCACGTGGTTGGGGCAGACCACGCTGCCTCCACGGCGCCAACCCAGATCTCCATTGCCCAACTGATCCGGCTCGGCGTTCTTGATGCTCTCTCTCCCAACCTCCGCCTTCTCATCTTGATCTGGCGTTCCTTCTATACCCCTGATGGGCCCCCTGTTTGCCTCATTCCATCAAATTTCATGTGATTTGGCGCCCTGCCGTGCACCTGACTCGACCTGTTACCCGCCGCGCACACCCTTGGCCACACAGGCCGCCTGGCTTCTCTCCCTAGCGGGCGTCGACCTGCCAGCACCTAAGGAATTTGACGACCCCAACATGACGTGCTCGAACCTGCTGAATGCCATTAAGAAGCTGGGCTTTGCGGCGCCCAGCTACCATCCCACTAAACTTACTGTTGGCCACGGCAAGGAGGTGGTGGGGGTGTTGGACGGGCTGGTGGACTACGTGCTGGAGAAGCGGCACCACGCATACAAGCGACCGCAGTACGCTGGTCAGGACGGGTGAGATCGAAAAGGGGATGGTTGGGTGGCGCTGGGGGCTGGCGGGGAATCATATGGTGATGCAAGAAGCAAGGGTTCTGCCAAGTGCAGACGCCCAAAGCGCCAACCGGGTGGCGGTCGGGGTTGGTGGGGAGATTGAGTTGGGTTGGCAGTGGAAAGGGCGTTGAGGTTTGTCGGTGGAGAGGTGACAAGGGAAGATGGAGGGTGGGCAAAAAGGGAGCTGGGAAAGGCTGCCGTGGTCGTTGAGGCTGTGGGTGACGGGGTGCCCAGCAGCAGTAGTGGCAACCTCAGCACCAGCAGTGGCCGCAGATTTTTTATCTTTGTGGCAGCGCTAGAAGGCTCCTTCAGGGCCCCACCCCCCTGTCGTGGCCGGTTGGTGGTAGCGGCTGAGAGCGACTCTAATGGAGCCCGGTTTCACTGCCCAGTCGGTTTGATAATCTCCATCCAGCAGCAGTAACGGCAGTCACGGCAGTAGCAGCAAGAGCAGCTGCACCGCCCAGATCCTGGCGTCAGGGACTAACCATGTTCGTCCGGCGGAGCGCTTGGAGATGTTGGTAGCGCTGGAAATGTAAAGCATCTTGGCACCGGTTTGGCGTCGGCAGTGGCACCGGTGCTGAAATGCCGGCTCTCTGCCATGCATTGCTGCTGGCCGCGACCTGTGCTAAAGGTGGTCGTGCCATGCACTGGCCTCCGCGGGGCCGGCCTGCGTGTGCGCCTCATGTGCGCCTTCCTGGGTAGCCATTCTTGTTACTTTGCAGCATCCATGCATGGCGGCGTGGCGGATGTTGGGCGGGGCTTGCTATCTTTTGTCGTCGCGTCCTGGTGGGGTCTGGATGTCTGGACGTCGCCTGAGGTCCTCCTTATCCCCAAGCCGTGAAGACGAGTTCTTTTCTCCGACGACGCACAATGCTCATCCGTTAACGTTCCTCCTTATTCTTCCTCCTCCCGTGTATGGTGGCGTTATCCACGTCGTCCGTGGCTTGTTCAGGCAACCTGAGGAGGGCGTGCAGTTGGATGATGAGGCGGAGTCGGCGGCCATGGAGGGCGCTGACGAGGTGAGCTTTAGGGGTGGTGGTGCAGGAGGAGAGGGCAGGGGGTAGAAGGATGATGGTGATGGTGTTGAGGAGGAGGTGAAGGGGAGGGAGGAGGGAGGGGGGAAGGATACGGAGACGGGACAGACAGGGGAACTGGGGCAACCGGGGCAGCGGTGCTGAGTAAAAAAGCGTTCAACCCTAGGACCTACCGTATACCTAATGCGCGGTTCGGGGGTGCTAGTAAGTGTTATAGGGTGTATGAAGTAACAAACGGGAGCCGACACCTAGCAAGTCGACACTCAGCCGAGCTGCAATGAGGTGAAACGACAGGACGGTTATCTCTCAGTCTGGCTGTTGTTCAGAGCCCGGGTCCCGGTGCGCTGTAAGCTCTCTGTCTTGCGGGCTGTGGGGACGGGAGGCGACGTGGCCCAGGGCATGTACGGCACATATAGCACACGTGCGGCACGGCCCTGCTTCCGAACTTGTTGGGAGGGGATTCTGGTGACCGGTTCTCACAGCTGGGCAGTGTTAGGGGGCCTGCTGGACAGGAGGGATCGGGCAGTGGGTGGAGGACATGGGGAACTGGGCCGGAGCGCTGGAGCACAGTGGTTGGAGTGGGGTGAGTCCCGTATCTTCCCACAGATGCTGCTTTTGTTAATGCTAATGCTGCTGCTGTCCCTCAAGTATAGGCCTCATGGGGGCCGCCTTTCCTTCTTTATCAGGAATCCTCCCCTAATCCTTCCTTCGCCACATCGTTTGCGGAATTTCGCCGCCTCTGTTTCACCATGTACGTGCGCAGCTGGCGATGCCCGCACAGACGGCAGCGGACGATGACGACGAGGAGGAGGAAGGGGTGTATGTGGACCCCGGGCGGGGGGACCCGGGCGGCCCGGGAGCGGGCGCATCCAAGACTGTGGATGCGGAGAAGGCGGTGCTCGTGTCAAAGGTGAGGCTGGAGAACTTAAGCTGTGCGGGTACGTGTATGGGAAAAAGGTGTGTGTGTGTGTGGAATGGGCTTTGGGCGGAAAGAGATCCGAACCGCCGAACGCTTCAGGACATATATGACATATGACAAACCACATATGGCAAATGACATACGACGCGATCTGCGGGGTGGGAGTTGTGGGGTGGGTGGGTGGGTGTGGCGAAGGAAAGGATGGGAAAGACCCACCCCTGACCTATCAAGTGTGTGTATATGGAGGGGGGAATGAGGAGGAGGGAATGCAGGTGGGGATGGGGGAGGGAACTCCGCAGACAGCAGCTCGGGCGCGCAACCCAATATGAGTCGAGACTACACAACCCAAATGGACGCGCAGGAGAGGGTCTAGGACATGAAACCGCGGACTCAGGTCTTGGACGACTTGGTTTCTGTGATGCTGACTTCCCAAACCTTTTCCCGCTGCGCACATCGTACGCATGTGCCTTTCCCTCGGCTTCACACATCTCCCACCCCTCACCCATTCCGGTGCACCTCCCAACACGTCCTCGTCCCCCAACCCCCAACCCGTTCATAGGTGGACCCCACATTGTGGAAGATTGAGTTGGAGCGTGTGGCTCCGAAACTTCGAATTACCATTGCGGCAGATTCTAAGGATTGGAGGTCGCACCTGGATGAGGCGCACCAACATAAGGAGGTATGAAAGCCAAAGGGAGGCTGGAGGGGGAAACGGGAAGCTCGACGTGATTGGGGCTGTTTCTCCTGGTTCCTGCTGGAGAGATGTTGGGAACCGAAGCAGAGATGGTTATGGGCGGTTGGGTTTTGGGAAGCTAGGGTTGTAGAGTGCAGGGGATGAAACGAGTATGAAAGACGCTAGGTCTAAGCTCTCTCGTCCTCTCTATCACGAAATTTCTTCTTCTGCTTCTTCTGCTTCTTCTCCTTTACGCACCTTTCCCAATCCGTTTCCACCTCCCTCCTCCACGAGTGCCTTTCTCCCCCATAGTGCCTGGTAATTCCATTTCTTCTTCAGCTTTCCACCTCTTTCCCCCAAGTGCTCCATGTTCTTCTCTTTTGTTAGCGTTGTTAATGTTCTTTACTGGTGTTATTGCTGTTGATGTTGGTGTTCTCGTTATCAGGTGATTGGTAAGGCCTGGCCGGACAGCAAGGTCTCCCTGGAGCGCCTCCGCGCTGACCTGGACGGCACGCTGGAGAAGCTGCAGACCCGGGAGAAGTTTTTGAACGAGCAGTTTGAGAGCCTCATGCAGCAGTACCGAGCAGCCAGGACCACGCTGACGGACGTGCAGGTGCGCAGCCAGCTGCATCGGGAAGAGGAGAAGGAGGGGCCGGGTTGTGCGTGGCCAACGGAACTTAGGGACGCGGGAATGGAGAGTGGGTGGGATGGTGTGTTGAAGATTGATTGGGATTTGGGGAACACACCCGCGAAACACACCCGCGATTGGGAAGAGTGAAGGCGCCTGGGATGTTAACAAGAGTTGGAACTTGAGACAGACAGACACGCAGGCAGACATACATGCAGGTAACCCTTCCGCACTCGAGCATCAGCCTTAACTCCGCCCACACGTGCAACTACCGTGCCCACACACGCCCTGGCCTTCCTTCGCAGGAGACGTACAACCGCAAGACGGAGGCTGTCGCGGACCGCAACAGCGAGCTGCACCGCATTGCAGAGCAGCTGGAGGAGGTGAAGGCCATGATGGACGAGAAGGGCTCCAACATTGCTGACGCCACACCGGTTGCCAGGATCAAGACCGCCATCAAGCAGCTAAACAAGGAGCTCCACGACATGGAGGTGCGGATTGGCGTGGTGAGCCATACGCTGCTGCAGCTGTCGCTCCGGAACAAGCGGCTGCTGCAGGCGCAGGCGGCGCTCAGCGACGAAGATGAGGACTGATTGTCAATTATTAAATGGTTCATAACATTTGGTGGTCTGCATCTGCGACGGGCAGCAGCAGGAGTAGAAGTAGAAGGAGGGATGGTGGTTTGGGTGCTTTTGAAGAGGTGAGGAGGTGGAGGAGGACCGTGGCGAAAAGGAGGGGAAAGGGGGGGATTATAACAGGATGGTGAAGGAGAAGAGGAAGAAGAAGAGCAAGAGCACTAGACTGTCATGTTCTCATGGACAGGGAGAAGGGTGGTGGTAAGGTAAGGGTCTCCTATGTGGGGTGGTGAGGCCCATCTGGCATGCTGGACAGGACACGTAAGGTACAACACATAAGGTAATTTTTCGGTGGCCCCTGATAACGGTGACCTGTACTCCCGACGGGAGTGGTATTGGTCTTAGTGGCGGTGGACCCGAAAGCAGGTGGTAATGCGGCCGCCGACTGGTGGTGGTGTTTTGAGGTCAACCCAGGCGCGCGGCGGTAATCTAGTAGTGGTCGCGTTGACCCAACCGCAAAGGGCTTTAAGATAAAGGAGCGGAGGTTGCTGTCGCGGTGGCTGCGCTGTACAGAGGGTACGGGAAGCGGGCCATAGGAATGGTGCGGCAGAGGCGGGGCCACGGTAGGGCTGGAGGGGCTGAGGAGCCGCGGGTGATGGTTATGTGACTTTATGTGTTGGGGCGGGAAGTGGGGCAAATGGGTTTTGGACGAGCGTCCATCACCATCCTTAAATAGCGGAGTCTCTCGGCTGCAACGTTTGCATATATGCACAGACATACACACACGAACACATCCTCGTGTAGGTGTAGTGTTGATTCTTAAAGTTCTGCATTTCCGCCATCGCATGTTTCCGCCTTTGCCGTTGGCCCGCCTATCTTTTTCCTGGAGCGCGGGAAAGGCAGATCCTGTCCCAACCTCCCGCATCCCAAACAAAGTCAAGTAGCGTTACGGGGTCGGCCTCCTAGTCCTAGCTGGCGGGACGGCGCGAGAGGCACATCGGAGAAGGTAGTGTCGTTGGGCGGTATATACTGCAGGCGTTGCGTCCCCAGGTAGGCGAGAGCCGCCCTGTGCATGAGCCGAGCCAGTCGAGCGAAAGTGTGATGTGCTTGGGGCCAAAAACTGGCCTGGGCGCTTGGGGGTGGTGAAACTGGTGGTGGGCTGCGAACTTGCCTGAGAAGGTGGCCAGTCTGCGAGCACTCCTCAGCAGCTAGTGTTGTAGTCGTGATTTCCGAGGAGCAAGTTTGTGCGAAGATGAGGACGCTTTATTCGCGGGGCCAGCACGACTGGTAGCTGCTTGTTATGCCAATTACATGGGTGCGAACAAAGTTTGCGCCCGCTTGACTAGGAGGTCCTCTTTGCGGTTGCCCTGCTCCATCGCTACCGCCGTTACGGGCCGTTGGCATACATGTACATAATATGGATAGGCCGCTGCGAGGAGGCGGTGAGGCAGCCCGACAAACGCGTGATGCGGGGGACGATTTGAGGCGGAGAGGAGGTCTTATAATTGACACGGATGTATGTATCTGTTGCATAAAAGGAAGGGATCATAGCGTGCTTATATCTGCAAAATTGTGACGACCAGGAACATCCGAACGACATGGACGCCAATTTCTGGGTGGTGACAAGTACACAACTTGCCAGAGCCTACATGATAATCCCTGTGTAAATCAAGTGGTATTCTGCGCACGGCTGCTCCCTGTACTTCAAAACTGATACGGCATCCGGATTCTGCGGACGATGCAAGCGAACCACAGGAGTATTGTGCCCCTTCGCGCAGCAACCTCTACTTACAGTATGATAATTTCCACTTAGGTTTCCTGTAACAGCGTTTGTCTTACTCAATCCTAGAAACTTCAGTTATACTTGCAAGTCCAGCAGCATGCTCTTGTCACGCCAGCAGGTCGCACGGTCGTCCCTTGCGATAATCACCCCTAAAAGACGATGCTACTCGATCACCTTGGCTTCGGCAGCAACACAAACCCAGCCCGCTGTACCGAGACGCGCTCTCGGCGCAGCGCTGCTAGGCGCCGTGGCGCTCCCGCTGCTTTCCTCAGGAGCCGCGCACGCCGGGTGAGAATGCCACTCGCTTAAACGTGGGCCATTTGCGCGTGTGGATGCATTCGTGTCCCGTTCTTCCGCTGCTATTATCGAACCAATAGGCGCACCGACGAGGTGACGTGTGCGCTCCACGGGTGTGCGTCGCTGGCCCACCCGCAATGCCATTCAACGGAACGCCCCATTTCCGGTCCCTTCCCTTGAGATCTTTACCTGGTCCTTTACCTGGTCCTACTCTCAGATTCAAGAAGGAGCTTAAGAAGAAGAAGATTCCTGAGGAGGATTACGTAACCCTGCGTGAGTCACTGACTGTCACCAGCCACGGCGAAGAACGGCGGTAATGTAGGAAAAGCTGCCGTACCGCTTTCGCTATGTACGACTTTCGCAGGAGGTTAATGGCAGGCACTTTCCATCGTTGTGCGTATCTGCCGGCACACAATCTCTGTCAGCCTGTCTATCTGTCTGTCTGTTTGTCTGTCTGTCTGTATGTATATAGGGCATCGTATAAGTGGAGCAGGGAACGAACACCCACACCCAGCCCGCGCACACATACGGGTTGCGGTCGATGCAACGCGTGAGAGAGAGATGATGTACATTTGGTTGGGGTCAAAAGATTGGCTGGAAGTGTCGTCACTGACTGTGTCATCAAGCGCGTTTGGTGTCGTGCATATCACGTACGATCTCGAGGTCTCCTTCAAAACCCAAATCCCTCTCCCCTCTTCTCCCCACCCGCCTTGTCATCCACCCCGCCTTTATGGCCCGTTCACCGCCCTTTCGCGTCCCGGGACAATAACACCCAACTGCCCTCTCTCTGCCTCCCCTTCCGCCTCCGAGCATGTTCTGTTTCGGCAAATGATAACCCGAAATTGCCCTCCTCTTGCTTCCTCGTTTGCCTGGTTCACCATCTCCCAACCGAACACCCCCTTATTGTACGGCACAGCCGCTAATGGGCTCCGAGTGTACGATATGGAGGAAGGCTCTGGGCCGGAGGTCAAGCCGGGCGACAGGATTGTGGTAAGGGTGCTGTTTGCCGGGTCAGGTCCCCCTCATTTAGCTTCTTTTACAGGCCTGTACATTCATGTAAAGAGATGAAATGCGATTCGGGCCGGCACAGCACAGCCCATGGGGACGTGATGCGCTTCTGCTGCATTATCCAGTGACTCCTCAATGCGCGGCCCACGGCTCATCACTGCTACTGATGCTGTTACTGATGCAATGGCTGCATGCCACTTTCGGTTGTCCGACGGGGTATGCCGTACAACGTATATCCTCTACAGCTCTGCTGGAATATGCATTAGCTTGTGACCCTCCGGGTGGCGAAGGAGGGGGAAGACCCAAGACCCGCGAAGTGCTCTCACTCCGTGCCATCGCCAACGTCCCCGTTTTTTTGGTTATCACTTTGAGCTCGCGGAGGGCTTGGATTCGTCGACGTCCCTCGAGACGCAATCCGTTTCTTTGACGCAACATTCGAAATCGCATTCCTGGGTTCAGGTCCACTACGACTGCCTCTATCGAGGACTCGACGTCGTATCCAGTCGAGCGGCACGGCTGCTGGGCGGCAACCGTACGATTGCCGAGCCGTACGAATTCATCGTGGGGGAGCCCGTTTACGCGGCTTCTCTGAAGTCGTACGATTCGGACTCCGCGAACCCTCTTTTCGCCGGCAGCAGTGGGCCCAAGCCACCACAGGCACTTTCTCTTTCCGTGGTCGGCATGAAGAAGGGCGGCAAGGTGGGTGGTGAGGCGATTGCCAAGGCGCCAAATTGGGAGCGTCAATAGGGCTGTAGGTTTAATGGATTTCCCGCCTTAGTGGATTTCCCGCCGGGTCCAGTAGCTCCAGTAGTAGGATTCCTTGCCTTCTCTAACCTCTTACATCAGCTGTCCTCACACATTTTCTGTCTACGTCTTTTTCCCAGTGTGATCCGGTGTTGCCTTTTTAGGATCACTCTGGGCCGGGCGAAGTATTTGGATCTGAACGCGATGGTTGCGAGATGTTGGTTAACTTAGGGTTGCGGTGTCTTTCGCCCTGCCGTGCCGTGCCGTGTCCATGTATACGCCTACCTACGCGCATATGTGCTGCGGCTGTTCATTTTTTCTTTTTCCCCTTGCCCCTTTCTTTTTCCCTTGACGTGGCACCTGATTCGCTCCTGTCCCTTCGCCTCGCTGTTATCTGTTCCCAGCGGTCGGTCATCGTGGACATTCCGGACCTGGGCTATCCGAACGGCGTCAACGAGCTGCCTCCCGCCACGACCTTCGAGCTGAAGGTGGAGGTGCTCAACGTCTATTCGAAGGCGTAATTGCCAACGGCCGGATGGCCCGCTGAGCTGGAATCTACCGGTTGCCCTGTTTCCGCTTTCGTTTCCTTGTTCTCACTTTCTCGGTACTGTACGACGTTGCTGGTACGACATCGGCCCTCATCTCAGCCATCATTCGCAGCGCGGCACATCGGTGTACGACAATGTGGAGCAATATGTGGTAGGGACTCGGCTGGTCTGAGGCTGGACTTTATGGATCTGCGAACACGTGCATGTGCTTTCCGCAAGGACGCGCGGGCCTTGGGGCGTGTGTTTTATGGGTTGTACGGCGCTATCGAACAGTAGTACTTAGTAGTACTTAGGTGTATACAGTGGTCTTGATATCTGGAAGACAGGATGCAGAAGGCCCGACTCGTTACGAAGAAACATGTGAAGACAGAAATATACTTTATCTCGTCTAATAGTTGCGGGAAATTGCAGATGAGGTACGGAAGAGGTACGGAACTCCCGTGTACGCGTACGGCAGAGACAAGATGGTGTTTTCCTTTCACACCGCACGGGCCCCGGCGCCGTGATGGCAACCTAGGCGAAGGGGAAAAATGCGTCGGAATATCGTACGTGGCTGGGTCGCACGGCAGGTTGCTGGACTGTCATGTTTACTTTATTAAACATACATGTGCAAGGTGCAAAACAAACAAGTACGACGTCATGTACGACGTTATTTCAGCACTCCTTACCGGGAACCGATGGCAATCAGGGAGCCGATGTCGTCACACACTCGCACACAAGGATAAGAGCACACCCTCCCACACACACTCGCACACAGGTGCGTGTGTGCGAGGTAAAGGTTGTGGGCTTCAAGACTTAGTGTCGGTTACGGAAATGAATTCCGTTGACACATGCCATCGCACATACATACGTACGTACGTACACACAAAGTTCTGTAGGTGACTCCTTCAACCGGAATAACCCCTCGCGGCGCAGTTCATTTACATACACACAGACACACATGCACAACGGCTCACGGCTGCTTAGGACCTCGCGCCCCGCTCCCGTCTGCGGGGGAGAGCTTAGGCGAGCGGTCTTTCCGTTGGGGCTAGGCGGCACCCCTCTGTGGCCAGTGTCGTCAGGCCCGGTCAGATACTTGTAACGTTCACACAAAGGCACACATACACACACACGCAGAGACACACGCGCAAACCAACACAAAGCTGGGGTGGCTCGGTTGCGTGGATGCAACTAATACATATACATGTGGTCAGGCGTTGCAGTAGCATCGACACCTAACCCACCGAACCCCAATTCACTGTGGCCAGATCCAATCAGTACCATGAATCTGTCATTTCAAGGAAAAACCTTTTCATAATAAACACGTGAGACTCGGAGACACACACACAAACACACATACATACAGGTCATAGGTATATAAGGGGCAATAAGAGGTAGCGAGGTTGGCATATCGCCGTACAGCGGGGTGCAAACTTCCGACAGCCATAAAAAACACGCACATCGGAAGTAAACGGCTGAATGCATTCGGCGGTGGAGGAGGAGTGTGTGCCGCTAGCGCCAACGCATCCCGCCCGCCCCCCTCGAACCCTTTCCGTCGGCGGCCCTTCCAGTTTTCCCCAAAAGTTTTTGTAGCATGAGTTCTTCAAACTGAGTGTAAAGTCAGGACGTGCACATGCCTATAGACCTGGCCACATCACACCACATCACACCGCACCACACCGCACCAAGGTGGATCAGGGGATACCCCCGGGGGGAGATCGAAGGGCGGCAACCGACAATCATTAGGATCCTTCCTAAGAACCCTAAGGCAGGTTCGATTAGGTGTAGGTGCCGCTCAACAACGTCAATAGCATAGAGGGGCAGAGGAGGTTCAGAGGGGCTTATGAAGTGCGCTCGGTGCGCGCATACACGCACACACATACAGACAAACAGACATATACTGACACATGAAACATCTTCACATTCACATTCCGACATGGAAACGGGCTTTGCCTCGCCTATGCTGCCAACCGCCCTGCTGTGTCCATGCTACTCCCAACAATCACAATGCGATAAGAGATGAGATGATGGCGATGTGTACGGTACAATATGTACGTACGTACGGCAATGCAAGATATTCTTCCCATTCTTGCGGCATTGTGCATATGTGGGTGGGTGCTCTGATGCCGCGACAGATTGGTACATGCTCGGGTTGCTTTACGCATGTGCTATAAGAAAAAACGGACGGACGTTCGCAAGTCGCGCGCGCCGCACATTGATTCCCCCTCTTTTGGGGTCCATGGCGGCAGAATAAATGAATATGGTGTATGGTGCATGAGGCGTCCCGCGTCGCACAATCAGCAAAGCCACATCCTCTGTGAAAGGCGAACACGTGGATAGCTGATGGCCAAATGCTCACAAACGTTGTAATGCTTCTCTACTATTAGGCTCTGGCAAACCCCCTTCACCACCTTCACCCCACAGGGCACAACCCTCACCACCCTGAAAATCGTCTCCACATGGCAAGCGAGTGCACAATCCCCAATAGACTCAGTTACCGGTTACCGATGTGCGCAATGGGTTCCAGCCCTAGTAACAGCCCGAGCGTGAACCCGCACATTTTTCAGCGGGCACTCAGCCGCCCTACACATCATCGGGATTGGATTTAATATCATCACGACCTTTGCACCTCGTTATCATCATCACCCTAGGAAAGAAGTATTATTCGGGATTGTTACTAAACTGACCAAGCCAAAGTCAAAACCAAAGCTAAATAAAAGTCAGATGCAGCTCATCAAAGATCCAAAATCAGATCCAAGTCGATCCGAAACTCAGATCACAGTCAGCAAGCGCACAGGATTTGTTGGGAATGCAAACAGCAATATTTTTTGGGGCAAAACATTGGAGAAAAGCCGAAGGAAGCGTTGCCGCGGCAACATTCGGCAACATCCCTGACCACGTCTCAAACGACATGCTCATGCAGAACGAGACACAAGTCCTGAGAGCCAGCAGACCCCCGCAGCGCTGCGCCAGAAAGTTCGGACCACAACGCCACATGGCTAATCATATGACCCAACAGGGGAAGGCCCCCTCTGAAAAATGAAAGGTCAAAAAAGAAAAATGGATAGGTTAGGAAAGGAGTTCTACCGTCGGCTACAGCGCACATGCGAAAAGGACACGAGTACGGATACGTCGCAATCTGGGAGGGCAAACGCCCATGTAGACACATTCTTTAGTCCATTGTAATAAGTTTTCCTTCTAGCTAGTCACCTGGGTGTGGAAGCGCCACCTTGTCCCTTCCCCCGCGTCTCTCTCTTTCCTCCCTCCTCCTCATATCGTTGCGGCTCCCCGTACCTCTCACCCCATCTCGACCCCTCCCGTGCTCCCCCCCCCCAATAGTCATCAGGAAGCCAATAACGAATGCGCCTACTGCCTTGCTGCCTCTCCCGCCCTCCCCCCTTCCCCCCTTCCCTCCCCCCCTCCCTCTCTTCCTCTCTCCCCTTTTTCGACCTTCACGATGGTGCGGGCGAGATGTAGTCCGGCGGCCAGATGAGGAAGCTCGTCTTGGCCGAGTAGAGCAGCTCCACCATGGAGCCGGGCACTCCGCGACACCGCGGCATCTGCACCACCAGCACATCCGGCTCGGTCTCCATTACCGCCTGCGGCAAGCTCTTGTTCGCCGGACCTGCCCAGCGGCCAGGTGGATGAGAGGTGTGTGAGAGAGTGTGTGTGTGTGTGTGTGTGTGTATGTGTGTGTGTGTGATCTCCACATGGCCAGGATTGGCGCACACCTCCACAAGTAAGTATGTATGTATGTACGACACACACAGACGCACACACAAACACAGATACACAGAAGAAATCCTAGTCGCTACCCAACCCATCCCCAGCCGCTCCCCTGCTTCCCTCCGCACCCCCCAGCCCCTACCCCGCACCCCCCACCATCCAGTACCGACATACCGGCCAGTACGGACTTGTCCGCCTCGAAAGAGTTAACAGCTGCTTGGACACTGAAAGCCGTGAGCAGCCTTTGCGCCACAGGTTTGACCTGGTGCTGTCCGTCAAAGGCCTGGCTGACGGTGAGAAAGAGGTGGTCGTGTCCTGGAGTGAAGTTCTCAAACAGCCACTCCAACACGTGCCTGTATGGTGGTGGGCCACCAATGTTAGACCAGGAAAACCGCGGGGATGGATCAGATGTGGTTGACAGCTTGTTGCGAAACGAATTTATGTGGAAACCTAACCTTTAATGGCATTGTGTACCATTCAACAGTGAACATCACTGCAGAAATTAGAATGCGCGCGCCCTTGTAGTGGAAGTTCCTCACCCTCCAAGGGCGAATCCAACTAACTAGACAACCAACTAACTGGATACCCAACTAACGGTCCCGACCTGCTGTTGGGCTGCAAGTCCACCATGACCCGCATAGGCCAACCCACGGAGCCGCCGCCGCCGCCGCCGCCGCCGCCGCTAGCGGCCCCACTGCCGCTGGTCCTGCCAGCCGCGGCCCCGCCGTTGCTGCTACTGCCTGCAGCGGCGCCACCGTTGCTACTGCCGCCGCCGGCACCCGGCACACTTTGCCGCATCGACGTGCTCCTCGACACGGCTGCCGATGCAGGTCGACTGCTGTTCGGAAAGAGCGTCGGGGAGATAGCTGGCATCGATGACGCCGCCGCTGCCGCTACCGCAGATGCCAAAGATGACGATGACGATGACGAACCCGAATTCGCCGCCAGCCAAGGGCCCTTGCTGTTGTACTTAACAAGCAACACGGGCGCGCAGCGAAGCTCAGGGAGGATCTTAAGCGCCAGGGACGTCGTGCCCAGCGTCCCGAGGCCGCTGTTGGTAGCGCCGCCGGAGCTGCTGCTGGAGGTCGCGGCGGCCATTACGGAAGGCGACATGGCGGAGATGGCGCTGGCGTTCCGGGCGCTGGGTGTCGAAACGCGTCGCATCATGGGCATCTGGGCTGAGGAGGACATTGAGGCGGTGGTGGCGGAGCCGCCGCCAGATGTCGGGTTGGAGGCCCGCGTGACAGCAATGGTGGCTCTGGAGCTTTGGCCGGGAGTGATGTTGGTACCTTCGTTTTGAGATCCAGGTGGTGAGAAAAAGACGAGATGGTGAACGAATAGATGGGTGTGGAAGGGAAGTAGGGGGTGAAAGGTTGACGGTGCGTGGTAGTGTGGGTGGTATGGCATTGGGAGGGTCAATAGTTGGGAAATTACGGGTAGTTTACGTGTGAATCACGTGTCGAGGGGTTTCGAGGTCATCGCGGGATGATGAGATAATAAAAGGGATGCGTCAAGCAGCAGGGTTTGCAACGGCTTGGTTAGGGTTAGGTCGCCGGAAAAGAGCAGGTATCTCAGTTGGGGCTTGATTAACAACAATGCGGCCATGTGGCCTAGGCCGCGATTTGAGTCAACCGACGCACACAGTCGATGCCCCCCTTGGGCGGTCAGGATCTACCTCTCTGGCGGTCTACCAGTAGACACTCACTCATTCACTTATTTTCTCTTCAAAGGTTATTTTATATGTGAAATTTTATGTAACACTGTGAGTTGCGTATAACACATGATGACTCACATAAGTTTGTGGATCCCATAAAGATAATGTGGGGTCGTATGGAGGTGGCAATGTAGCGACCCAGGCTCTCAGGCAGTGTATACTCCTCTTCCTTGACCACCGCCTGAAGAGGATAGTGGTAGTGATAACGATGGTTTTGGTGGGTTGATGGGCGGATTGATGATGCCATAATGTGGATGGCGCCAAAAAGGGGGTTGGTGTGTAATCCGGAGGATTACGGGTACGGGCGCAGAATCTGCCAAGGTCAACAGGAATACCTTCACGGCACGGACTCACGTGATAACGGGCGCAATCCATCACCTCAGCCTCCAGAACCTCCCGCTGACGTGCCAAAGCGCTTGCCCTTCCTGACTCCGACATGATGACTGTGACAAGATGGAGTTCATCCATGCCCGGAACTAGGAATGCCTTCGAAAATCTTCGGTTCATGTTGCAGAAGCAAGAGGAAAGATTTTTAAGGTTCGTAACTTACGCAAGCAACAGACTGGTATCGCACATGGCAAAAGGCTCTCCGGGTTACGAACTGCTAAAGCATTGCTGCACCCACCTGTAAGCAGACCTGCATGAGTTTGACTCCGACACAAGGAGGCATAGTTTGAAGCCTGTGCAGGTCAACAGCAACATAGAGTATGGAAAGACATGAAATGTGACAAAGGCTGCCAACAAACGTCGCCAAAATCGTTCACCATTTGTTGCAAGTCTGTAACCGATTGCTGCCCGATTCACCTTTCTTTCTCTTCCTCAGCTTCACTTGGTCAGCGGACAAACCTGCCGACATCGCTACTGATAGTGTCTAATATCTGACTTTGCAAATACTGTATTCAAAAGACCCGTAAACAATTGTGCAAGATGAATCTTATTTTGCATAAACATATGCCGATAAACCGAAGAGACATACTTAGGATGTTGTTTCACTCTTTATGGACCTATCCCAAGGTGACGTTTACAGAAATGCTGCAGCGACACTTTACCTTCCCCATTAAACAAACCTCGAGCGGTGAGCTTCGCTGTACGGTTGGTTTCCAGTACAGCGCTGCCACATCCTCACGTACGGCTTTTCCCAACCTTACCAGTGCCGGTTCACGCTGCCTAACCGCATGACCAACTTGGTTGTTTGCCCTTCTTGTGATGTCGTATCTTAACCGCACACAAATGGATAACAATACACGCATTGATTTGCTGCTCGGGGCGCATGTCCCAAAGCTGCACCAGGATGATTTATGCACGCACCCCACACTAAACGGACCAACCGCGTTAACGAAGTAAGTTAGTAAGTAAATTCTTTAAAGAAATAATTTGCAAGAATGCTTGAAAATCTGGTGCTGCACCAGTATTTGGGTGTATTTCCAGTGCGGATTAAGGCCAGGGATTAGCGTTAATCCCTGTGCTAATCCCAGCAGTGGAAATCCCACCGGGATTAAGCAGGATTAGCCGGGGATTAAGAAGTTCCTCAGGACACCGTGTCCTCTATTCAGAGGACTAGCAGGAGTTAGCAAGAGATTAGGAAAGAACATAAACTGAACTTGATGTCCATGTATTTACCTGGCAACTTGTGACAAAAAAGTTATTACCTGGCCCCACCCAGGTAGTAACTTTCCGTATCTGGATTAGCATTTATGGCGTCATATCTTATTTTAATTTCTAGGTAATTCCATATGGATGACCTCAAGTAAGCAATATCTGATTTGGTTTACTCGAAAGGTGCTACCTCAATGTAAGGCCTCAACGGTGGCCACAACGGCGAGAAGAGTGCGCTTCCTGCCCATATTTTATACTCATACGATGCCTACTGCCCAAAGCAATTCAGAACTGGTAATATTAGCGTCGAGATCGCATCAAAAAATGTGCATCGCCCTTTGTACGGCCTTAATCCCCGCCCTAATCCCCGGCCTTCGGAATGGCCAGGGATTAGCTGGGGATTAGCCGGGAATAGCGGGACCTTAATCCCTGGCCTTAATCCGCACTGGAAATACACCCTTTATCTACTGCAGCAGTAGGTAAAATGTTGTAAGGCATTATGTTGTCGAGCGCTTCACTTTTGTGGAAATTAATGCCCAAAGATATTCCCATCTGTATATCAAAAGAATCCCGGCCAAAGAGCACGCCTTAACGCTGCGCTGGGCCTGAGGCGTCACCGCTGCTGAAGCTGCCGCTGGATGTCACAGCTGCTACTCATGTTCATGTGGCATGTTCATCCCCTTGAGCTATTCCCCGGAAGATGTGTAACTGTCACAGAAAAAAGTCTTACGTCTGCGGGTAGACTTGCTAGGTGACCATCTAGGCTTTGAGCAATTGATGACAACGCCAGGCCCGGGGACAGTAAGGCACCAGTGGGCCCGGGTCCAGCCCGCCTAACACCTGTACCCATTGGTCTCGCAGGATTTCAAAACCCTATCCCACAAGATGGTGAAAATCGCCTGTCCAGACGCTAGAGAACAAAGGAGCAGCGCGAGTAGGGCGGGCTTGGACCGCTTGACCAAGGCAAGTAATGCATGCCAGGTGTACGGCACCACGATGGACATCGCGGCGCGGTGCTCGGCCCGCCTGGAACTGCTCCATCTGGGCCCATGCCAGCCCACATCAATCTCATCATTAGAGCAGGTAAGGGCCAGGTAGGGACAGGAGTCGATCCAAGGATAAAATCAGCATCTTCCAGAGCAGCAGGGTCATCGATATGTATACGTGGCCCCGATCCGTGCGTGCACGGTGGCATGCACCCAGCCGCCAGCAACAAGGCAACACACGCTACTAGGCCGCGCCGGGATCCTTTTCTTGTTTGTCAATCATTCGCTGGACCTGCATCTGGCTCTTCTGCTGTCATTTTGAAATTGCGCGTGCTGCTGCCTTTCATGCAGGTATGCTCGCTGGTGCCTTTGTGCCGCTTTAGCACGTGGTGGGTTTGCTTGTGCTGCTTTCGTTGGGCGGGCTTCACGACCCATCCATGGCCTTCATGGGTTACACCCAGCGAACAGCAGCCCAGCTAGCTGTCTAGCTAGGCACACTATTGCACACCTATCTACATACCCACCCAGCATCGCATCAAGCCAGCCGCTGCTTCCTACGCGCCTGCACATGTACCACACCCCTGGGGTATTGCTGGCCTAGGAAGTGCGTATATGTATATCCTATGAGTAAGGTTTATTTCCGAATGATGTAGTTCCAAATCCTCAATGGACCTGCACAACTCATTACACATATACATGTAGGTCAGGCACTACTGGTAGAGCACCTACTTGTGCCCCCGGAGGTCCCGGGATTGAGACCCGTCAGGGACGAAGGTAATAGGGTCCCTAGTCGATGGACGGTGGTAACCTGGGATAGAGTGAGTGAGACCTGCGAGCTGACCAGGAATGTAGTTGAACCCCCGTTAATGCGACAGATGCCGTTGGATGCCGGTGGTGGGTGCTGAACCTGGGCGATCCACTGAGAAGTTGGCTACGGTGACTGGATGCGGATGCCCTGAAAAACTGGGGAAGGCAGGGTCTGCCGGGTAGCGGCCGCATGGTGAAGATATGACCCCCCTATCCTACATCACACGCGTCATACATGCATGCACATTTTCAATTGGACAACTGTACATACCAGTCGACCCGGGTTCAAATCCGCCTGCCGGCTCCTCGGGTGTTTGAGGAGTGATGAAATGGGAGGTGGCCCCCCATCTTATGGACGGTGTAGGACGTGATAATATCAACTTGCGAGCTGACCAGGAACTAAGTTGATGCGCCGTTGATCCGCTAGATTTGGTTGGATGCTGGTGGTGAGTTGCCGAACCCAACGAATACATTCTGAAGTCGGATGGGGTGACGGATTAGGGTGCCCCTCTAGCAGGGGAGAGCAGGGACTGCCCCGGGAAAGGGGGCCGCTGGCGAAGTTGACCACCCTGTAACAACATACATACATGCAACTGTACATATATGCATACATGTTATCCATTGGACAACTGCCCGCCGCCGGTTTACATGATAAACTCAACTCTGCAAGGAGCGGACAAGCAGCTAAGAGTCTGCGTGGGTACGTAATGCGGACATGACAAGATTGCCCGCAGGACACGTTGCCCTTAATTGTACTTGATGAACAGCATCAGAGCCGGCGGCAGCAGTCCTGTCCTTCTTGTTGGCCTCTTTTGCCGCATCCAGCGACCTCTGGTGACCTAGTTCCACGCACGTTGCTCCTTTCCTGCTTTGAATGGGTTTCGCTTTTTTCCTTTGGCAATCCAGCTCTGAGAGGTTGCCGACGGCTCCTCGCTTCTCCTTCTTCCATTTCGGTGGATTCTCCAAGCTTTATGCTCGCTGTTCGTGTCTCTGCTCTGCATTTTGGGCTTCGCTTTTTGCATGGGCGCAGCAGCACGTGGATTTTGGAGTTAGCTTCCCCCCGGTCAGCAGGGCTTGCTTGTTTCCCTTTTCCCTGATCGCGTTCCTTCGTTGTTACAGCTGTTACCGGCCGTCCTCATGCTGGGAACGAGAAAATTAGTTATCGTCGGACAGCCGTGTAACGCACCTGGCTAACTTCATACCGACTGCCCGTATAGATTCTGCGGCCTTCAAACCAAATCATATTTTTGAGCTTCACTACTGTGAGCTTATGACTGCGTGAATGGTTGTTGGGTCAGGTGCGCTCAATCCCTGACGACTCCACATCGCAGGCTTAAAGCGTCCTGAGCTACGAGAAATTTCATACGCTTTGAAATCGCGCGCCTGCAGGCCTCGACTGTGCAATGAAGTCATGTACTATGATGTGTCATGTCATGCAACGAATTGCGTGAAAGCAATTCGTACAATATAGTACAAGCGTGCGTGATGCCAGGCCGCTGAGGCCGATCGCCGGCAGCGTGCCTAGTGTGGCCAACAGGCAGTTTTTTGTCCACAATTTAGCTCACATGACCAACTTCTGTTGTTGTCACATGCCTCCGAAAGGGTGTCAGGCCAGAAAGCGTCCGACAACTTAGGCAACCGGCGCCGTACTAACCCCTGATCGGTAGACGACAAAAGCCCCCAGCAGCCAGCACCTAAGAGCGAGGTTCACGTAACTGGCACATATTTGCAAAATATACTTATCGAAGGCCTTTTTAGACATGATAATGTGGAAAACAGCTGGCTTTTCAAACTCCGCGAGCAGCTCCTCGAGATCACAGGCCTTGGTTTCCCATCGACATATGCCTTGCGTATTCAAAGGTGAGAATGGTCTTCAATTTCATTTTTTATGAGCGCGCGATCATCTTTTCTGTGGCGGCAAGGCTTTGCTCTAACGATGTTTGCTTCGCGTTTGGTAACTTGAAGCAAACTGTACGCACGTGGAAATATAGGAAAGATTGAGGATTAATTGCACCAGAAATAATTTTCTGCCTCAATTTTTCCCTTGTTCTTAGCCCGCTGTGAACTCCGGTCGGCCTGTTGGCCTCTCCGGCCTGGGTGGTTGCAGGCTGGTGCGCTGCCGTCGCAAGTCGCAAGCCGGCACATCACCGCCTTTTCGGAAATATTATTAGAAGGACTATGGCTCGAGATCGGTTGACCGAGCAGGCGCACGAGGACTTGGACGCTGTTCGCGTCCGTCTTAACCACCAACTGAAGCTCATCATCACGCCATCTGTAACCGGTGACCGTGCGCCAAATTTGCACAAAGCCAATGGTAGGTCATAAATTTGGGCCACTTTGCAGGTCTGCGTTCACAGCGTCAGCCTTGCTAGCTTTACGGTTGCGGACATATCGTTTTCGGCGGCGCAATGCAGGGTCTGCCGAAATTCTGTGTTCGCGTTCAGCACTTTTTTTGTAAATTGTAATGTTTAATACTTTGCCGCTCATTTCTTGGCGTAACTGTGGCGCATAACTGTTTCCTCCCACTGTCTGCTGTTTCTCTCCTAGACTGCCAATGCGACCGGGAGTATCATCCATCCAAGGGCTGGCGCCGTCAGCCACATCACCTAGCAAAAGAGGATCTATGGACTCGTATTCAGGAGGAGGCTCAACAGGATGCGGTAAGTCCTTGCTCTTAAGTCTATTCAAACTGATAGCAATATGGTACCGGAGCAACGGTAATGTGCAGGTCTATATTTTTTAATGTAGACAATAATTAAATGTATGTACGTGCTATCTGCTCTACGTTGTTGGTTGGCCATATAACCAAATAACTTCCAACCAGTCGAACTGTTAATTACCCACGTCACAAAATGCCATCCTTCTAATTCTTATTTCTTTTCCTCTTTCCGCCTTCCTTTCCATCCTCTCACCCTAACCACGCATCTCCCCCATGCAGTTCGCCGAACCCGCCCTCGCTAGCAACCTGTACAGCACCATCCTCTCCCATCACAATATTGAAGCAACGATGGCTTTCCTGCTCGCCAACAAGCTGTCCAGCCCCACGATGCTGGGCATGCAGCTGATGCGGCTCATTCAGGAAGTGTACGAGGACGACCCTGAGGTCATGGAGGCGTGCCTTGCGGATCTTCAGGCGGTGTACGACCGCGACCCCGCATGCGACCGTTACACGCAGGCCATCCTGTACTTCAAGGGCTTCCAGGCGGTGCAGAGCTACCGGATAGCGCACTGGCTGTGGCAGAAGGGTCGCAAGGTGAGTGGCTCGTGAGGGCCTTACCCGTGGCCGTGGGACGTGTAAGGTGAAGACCGCGGCGCGGGCGGTTAGGGGCAGGCAGGTGGGTGGGTAGGTAGGTAGGTAGGGGTTTGGGAAAAGGTATGACGGCGCTGCTATGACACCCTAGGGGACTATGATTAGAGGGAACATGTTACCTTGGGGAAGACCTTTTTTTATTTACAACCCTTTGAGCAACCCTTCGGAGGACAAAGGAGACAAGTAATTTATATTAAGGGAGGGCATGTCCAGGGAAGGCAGTGGGATTGAATCCCTTTTGAATCTTAGGGTTTAATAGCTTGCCGCTGCCTTCAGACCGCACCCGTCGCAGTACCAGTAATCGTTACGTAAACAATTACGCCTCCATCTTTTCATCTATCCAGATAGGTCAGGTTCACGATAAGATATGTCTATTTCTCATCCCCCATTTGCACAGACCCCTCGCTCCACCCTCCCCATCGGCCCCATCTTTTCAAATTTTTCATCCTTCCTCCCTCAGGCCCTGGCTCTAGCGATTCAGAGCCGGATGTCCGAAGCTTTCCACGTAGACATCCATCCAGCAGCGGAGATCGGGCGCGGGATTATGATTGACCACGCGACTGGTGTCGTGATTGGCGAGACGGCCGTAGTGGGGGATAACGTGTCCATGCTGCACCACGTGACCTTGGGCGGCAGCGGCACCGGGCGAGGCGTACGGCACCCCACGATTGGTCACGGCGTGCTGCTGGGGGCGGGTGTGTCGGTGCTGGGCCCTGTCATGGTGGGCGCCGGCAGCAAGGTCGGTGCCGGCAGTGTCGTGGTGTCGGACATCCCGTGCCATTCCGTGGCGGTTGGGGTGCCAGCACGCATCATCAAGCGCGATTTGCTCAGGGAGGCCGTCAAAGATATGGACCAGTGTGTGGAGTTTGTGCTCGACTACGAGATCTGATCCCCCCTCGCGCAATTCCGTGCGCGCTTGAATCACATCTCGTCATATCAACCACGACTGTGAGCTTTGTTGATCCGGCCTATGTATGTATATGCTCGACTACCAGTTCCTCTCGGACTTCTGAGGCATCGGAGATCAGCGGAATGGGATGAAGCGGAGCGGGGCTTTTCTCACGACGCTGAAGTAAATGAGCTCTCTCTTTCACTTCACGAGATGAGGTATGAATGGCGCATGGCAGCTGTCTTGCTTCGGAGGGATTTCAAGGGCTTTTGGATCGGAGGTTCCTTCCGGCTTGGAGGTCGCTTTATTCAGCAGAGGGAAGTAGAGGGAGTAGCCTGTACCTGGGGCGTTGACCGCTTCATGATGTATGCACTTTCCTGGCTTTTGTATGGTAGTGGTAAAAATGTGATGGTAAGAAAATATGTAGTTATCGGGTGCTGAAGTTGCGAACGAAGCACGAAACGAGCAAGACATGCATCGATAGTTTGTGTGGCTTATTTTCTAAGGTGCCTTTGAAGAGATATTCCGTCCTATTCATGTATACCGCGCCACGCTACGTTTCTAGCTGTTGCTTTATCTTTACTGGGTTTGAACTTTTGCATGACCTTTTTATCTTGACGGGGTTTGAGTCTTTGTGCAGATGAGGGATTTGGTTTGAAGTCTTCCTTTAATTCCCTTACATATTACAAAGACATGGGGATTTGTATTTTACATCCTTCTATTAACTGAGATGAACAAGGTTGCGGTGGGTTGATGCTTGCTGCAGATAGGAAAAAACCTTAGTCAAACATGACATGAAATGGTTGCATGCAGGAAATGCACTTGAGAAGATTGCGTACATCGTGCAGCCTTTGGCCGGGGGTAGATCATAACAAATACTTTTTTACACGTGCTATGACGTCGCCTTGTCGCTGTATCTATTACAGCAATGTGTCTTACGGTAGCCTTATCAGATTCTTATTTTCTGCATCAATCTGAATCTTTGCTGCGTGCACCGGCAGCTCCTTTCCTTTTCAGGGCTTTCTTCTTAGTGTCGGTGTCGACGGAAGCTTTTAGGAACGCGATTGATTGTTGTCCAGTCGCGCTGTTGCAGGTTGCTGCATTGTACCTTACGTTTGAAGTCTCTAGAATTGCGTCGCCATGCATCTGGCTTGCAGATTCGTCTAACTCCGTGATAATAAGCCATGAGCGTCTTGATCTTGGGAGCTGCAAGCCCCTGCAACGTGATAGGTATGGGCTGTGAGACAGGCATCGCAACGCATCGCTCCAGTTGACTCCCGTATGGAGCGACGATATTCGCTATGCTCCTGTACGGATATGTACGGTTATTCTGGAGGGTGCGGGCGGTGCGTTGCCGACACAAGACATGTGCATAGTTTGCTTGCTCATGAGTTGGTTGGTTGCTTGCTTGGGAAAACGATTAATCGTAGGAGGTCGTGCGTTGATTGTTAGCAACCTATGCTGTCCATTTGGCGGCATTGCTAAGCCACTGCATCTTTGAAAGCATCTATGAAACGGGATTCTCGCCTTGTAAGTCGCGTCCGTCGGCATCGTACGGCACTACATGTGAGGGTTATCGCGAAGTTTGCGAGGGGCATCGTCTCCTGCGTTGCGGGACGGGCGGAAGATTCGGTTATGCGGTTTAAGTTCCTACTCCCGTTTTTTGCGGTTCATGCGATGTATTCGTGGACAGTGACAACATGGACGTGGAAAGGGCGTCGTTTGTCTGTTGCCGTGTTACAACCAACTTCTGTTATTGCTCGTTGAGGTTCGTTGGTAGTTTTACGACGGACATACTCGGTCCTGGCGCATGAGACGTGGTGCGCCTTTACTGTTTACCTCTTGCATTCTATTAGTTGCTTGCCTTCCCTATCTTCAGACGCTACGAGGAATTGCTATGTTAGGCAACATGCACCGATTGCCCCTTCTTGCCTTCCTAAGCGTCTGGTGGTGGTGACCTGAAGTCCCATCCACATTCTCCCCCGCTCTGTGATCTTCGGAGCCACGATAAGGGAAATGCCGATGGGGGTACACGACCGACGGTTTGGGTACCAGGCTTGATGTATACTATTCTGTAACAACATACATCAGCCCTGAAAAGAGGGACGGGAAAGTAGTGTTGGATGAACACTACTGCTTCAGGCAAACCGTCGCTGCGACTTGCAACAGTTTTATCTGAAGCGCGCTAATTTACAAATTTACAAATGGTCCAGTGTGGGCAGGAATGGAGCGGACGGCTGTGAATGGCGGTCACTAAAAGAGAACATGAAATGTCCACATGCCCACACGTCTCTCTTGACTACTATCCATGTATTCACTCCTAGTTAAAAAGACGCACACAAAATATGTTTCTATGAAAGGCCGTGGTTGTTTGGAGACACGGTATTACAGATATGTGGCCCCTGTGAACGCCGGAAAAGGAGATCCAGCAGGTAGATACGACATACAGACATTAATACATAATACTACAATAGATGATACATCTGATGAACGTGCCCTCAACCGTCAACTTCTACGTGCACAAAGGGCAGCCCGGCGTGATGCAGATTGCTCGCGACAAACTGCAGGCTCATCGTCCAAGCATTCCGCGGCAATCCTGCATTGAGGCGAAATGCTCACTTAACCTACTCGTACAGTTATTGCAGTAGCAAACGGTATACATGACTATTACATGACTAACGAAAACTTAAAAAAACAGCATGGTTTCAAAATGGACAAAACAGAAAGCCAACCGCTTGCAGGCTTTAAGAAGCGTACGGCTCGGATTGCGCAACTTGGATTGCACTGAAAGGCTATCAGGATATCTAAATTACAGTATGGAACAAGGACTCTGCAGCAACAGCCGCACATAACTGTACGATCACCGTGCGAGGTCCTCCTGGATGAATACGGCACCAAACAGGGGCAACATAGAAAGCTTGTAGAATACACGGCAAGCATGTCCACCAACACCAACACCCCAGCACGCATTATTGCAGCTATTCACCCTAGTCGACATTCTGTGCCATTAGTTACTGCTTGACACCAGCATGGAGGCGGGTACAGAGTTATGTATAAGCGGGCGCTCCCCGGACGTTACTTCTGGGCGAATCTAGCCACAAATCTAGCCTGACACACATCTGTGCCAGATGCCGTATATACTGTTCCAGTTCCTCTACCGCCATGGTCAGAAAACATGTCCTTTCATTTTACAGTTTTTCTTAATTATAGCGTCGTTCCGGCCAACGCATTAGGCAGTACCTCCTTATTCCGCTTTGTTTTGTGGCGAGTGCATAGCACAGGAAGTATGTGAGAAAGGTCGCGGCATAACATTGAGAAGCCCTGAAAAGTCACGCGGTTCGCTTTACCGAAAACAAAGGCCTCTGAACCAAGTCTTCCCAGCCAGGTCTTCGGGGGGCACGTGTGTCATGTAAATACGTTACCAATATGGACCATAGTCTTTCGCGACAGCTAAGCCATCACCATGCGGCCGCATGTGTGACATGGCAGCAATGTCCCTTCTCATTGCGCGCATGCCCTCGCTCACTCCCTTGTTTTCAGGGCAACCCCAACGGCATCATCCAAAATTAAATGGGCTGCAACCCTCCACCTCCTCCTCCATCAGCAGCTCACGTGCAATCGACATTAACGGGCCAATAACGTTCAATCGAGAGCTTCAATCAGTCGCATTACGTGGTACCTAGCCCGTCCCATGCGTGCATAACCTGTGAAGGCGTAGATGGGCTGCAACGCGTCAAGCATCGACATCGATAGCACGGACAACAAAAGCCTGTACGCCACCAGTCACAGAAAGTCTTGTGCCAAAACCCGACCTTTCCGCACGCTCGCTCCGCCGTCGTCGTTTATCAAACCCCACCCCAATCCAGTGGACCTATCACGCAGTTCTGCCTCCAGATTTGGAGATCAGAGAAAGCGAGACGCAAGGAGCAGCGCGCGGCAATTAACCTGCATCACGACGAATCCCTCCTAGGAGGTCCACAAGCTTGCACAGCGGCACTCAACAATCTTCTTCGCTAGCTTCACCTGCCGCGGCCTGCCCCTCTTCCATTCCTTCCCGCGACCATACATGTTCCCACCCCCACGTGGCACAACCGCTTTCCCTCTTATCAGAATATTAAAAAGAGGCACCATCAACTTTGTCAAAATCCATCCATGAACATAAAAGCAGCGACGAACCAGGCGACCATAGAAGACTGGCGACCCCTAATCCCAAATCCCATAATCCCTCCTCCACCTGCATTCATCCCTTTAATCTGTATCCACGAGAGGGTCGCCACAACCATACCAACTATAAAAACCTGAAGCCCCCTATCCAGCCTAGGGCCATCCAGCTCTCCAGGGAACGCTTCGCACGATCCTTACAAGGCGCCTGGGACCAGCTTGCGGTATGCTCATCCTGTCTAAGACATCTTCGCCACCCTGATCCTATTTCAACCGAGTTCTAGACTTATCTTACCACTTCTCCAACTTCTGTGCCGATGCCGCTACTACGGCCCTCCGGGATTCGCCTATTGTACAGATACAGGCAGAGCGCCTGGAGGCCGGTGCCGACTGCCACCGACGGTCCGCTCACGACGTGTACAACGTGAATACGAATGATGAGATGTATTCCCCAGTTCTCCCCCGAGGTGAATGCGCAGTGTATCTGACATTCAAAATACCCGACTTTGGACGAGTTGCAACAGTGTACCCATGCCTTAAAAAAGGACCCTCATGAACAGCACGTCAGCAAGCCATCAAGCCTCTCATACTAGGTTGACATATAAATTCCGGATGACATGCATTCCGTATGATCCGAGCAAGGTGAGTAGAACCTGCTCGGATCCAACTTACCGTTCGTACTTAGCCCGCAACTAGCTATGCAGCGAATCAATGCGCATTCTAGATGTCATAATTCAGCACGAAATCAACGCACTGGTCCATATCCTTAACAGGCTCCTTAATAATATCGCGCTTGATGATGCGTGCTGGCACCCCAACCGCCACGGAATGGCACGGGATGTCCGACACCACGACACTGCCGGCACCGACCTTGCTGCCGGCGCCCACCATGACGGCGCCCAGCACCGTCACACCCGCCCCCAGCAGCACACCGTGACCGATCGTGGGGTGCCGTACGCCTCGCCCGGTGCCGCTGCCGCCCAAGGTCACGTGGTGAAGCATGGACACGTTATCCCCCACCACGGCCGTCTCGCCAATCACGACACCAGTCGCGTGGTCAATCATAATCCCGCGCCCGATCTCCGCTGCTGGATGGATGTCCACGTGGAAAACCTCCGAAATGCGACTTTGAAGCGCCAAAGCCAAAGCCTGCGAGCAGGAGTAACACAAATAGCATTACCATTTCTGATGATCAAGTCCCTATACGACTTGAGGACGCATGCTCCAGGCACCCACTGTACTTCCTCGCTCCGTCTCCCTACCTACCATCCAACAGGCCCTCACTGGACAGGCTTTCCCTTAACAGCAGCGCTTTTCCCAACCCCCTACCCACCTACCTACCAGCTCCCCTACCTACCTACCTACCTACCCACCTGCCTGCCCCTAAACGCCCGCGCTGCGGTCCTCACCTTACACGTCCCACCGCCACGGGTAAGGCTCTCACGAGCCACTCACCTTGCGACCCTTCTGCCACAGCCAGTGCGCTATCCGGTAGCTCTGCACCGCCTGGAAGCCCTTGAAGTACAGGATGGCCTGCGTGTAACGGTCGCATGCGGGGTCGCGGTCGTACACCGCCTGAAGATCCGCAAGGCACGCCTCCATGACCTCCTGGTCGTCCTCGTACACGTCCTGAATGAGTCGCATCAGCTGCATGCCCAGCATCGTGGGGCTGGACAGCTTGTTGGCGAGCAGGAACGCCATGCTCTTTTCAATGTTGGGGTGTGCCAAGATTGTGCTGTACAGGTTGCTTGCGAGGGCCGGCTCCGAAGCCTGGGTGAGCGCAAAACAAAAACAGGACATGAAGACACCGCCTGAGTGAAAATGCGATGTAGGTTAACAAGGTGCCTTAGGGTTAACAAGGGCGAAGCAAGGCTTCAGATGAGCTGAAATAATCTGCGGGAGTCTACGGCCCAGGGCGGCCGCGCTCTCGACCCCAAATACAACTGCCCGTTGCACCCGCACACTAAAAGTACAGCTGCCCACCACGCGGGTCGCTGCTGTCACATTAACAGAGCAATTGGCCTGCGCTTACCGCGTCCTGCTGTGCTTCCTCGCGGATGCGTGACCACAGCTGGTCCTTAGAAAGATGATGCGGCTGAGGACGCCACCCTTGGGATGGATGATACTCGTCCCCGGGGCATTCGGGGCAATCTACAGAGGGTGCCATGCGACGATCCAAAAGGCATGGGCAGAACGTGTGGCGACAAATATGGGGCCAAACACTGGGCCCCGCTATTGAGAATTTCGGGGGCATATGGGGGCTGGGAGTGCTGTGCTCAGACGGGAAGACGTTCCTTCATCTCATGCGTCCCGTCACTATCCCGTTTGTAGAGTGGAGCCGCTACCACGCAGCACATGGGCAAGCAGCGCGCTCAGCTAAGCTGAGAGATCAGGCATAACGCAGCGACTACCTACCGTTGGCCTTTGAGACGCGTTGCCCCGCGTACTCCGTCGGGACGGTTGCTAGCCTAAGCTGCTGGTTAAGGCGCGCACGTAGCGACTCCAGTTCTGAGACTTCGTCGGCACTAAGCCTGTCCCGTGCCATCGTCTTAATGCGTGTTGAAATGTTGCAGTGAGCCCCATACGGCATGCGCCATGACAAAGCGCGCTCGCCTGTCAAACAAAGAACCGCAAAGGCAGCAGAGGCAGTGAAGTCATAGCAGTAGGTCTTATGAAACACTAAACAATTTCCAAAAATGCGCTTCATGCAACACTGGTGGCCATAAGTAAAAGTCCGACGCGGGTGGGAGCATGCCGGAGTATATCGCACACCTGGATTTCTTTGTAACCGAGCAGGAAGGGACAGTTGGGATTGGGGTCGAGAACTGCTCGGCGCCGCAGCTTCAGCGATTGGTGCCCGAAACATCCTCTTGAACCCGCAAGAATACCAACTAATGCCAAAAGTAACAAGTGAATTGTAGTAGATAAATTATAGTGAAAACGGTCTGTATCCTGGCAGCGCCGTGAGAAATGACAAGTGACAACGTAAGACACTAATCAAGACAGGTTCGGGTGGCGCCACCGTTAAGTTTGTATGTTAATAACGCGAGCACGACTGAACTCTGTTGAATGGGATACGGGATTAGGAAGGTGTATAACGAAGTTTGTAAACTGCATGCCGTACGAGCGTCATCTAGTAAGTTGGTGGAACTTGGTGTCATCGGTAACTGCATGACGCAAGTTTTCGCTTTGCACGTTATCTGCATAGTCGTCATCCATTGGTGCCCTAGACATGAAACCTGACGGACGGGTGAGCATATGCCCAAAGCATAATTTCCCGAAACTTCTGTTGCTTTGTGTTCCTGAACTGTTACAGCTAACACAGTGCGTGCGATTGATAAAGGATAGAATGGTAACGGCTTACTTATGTATGCGTCCTATTTCGTGTCCGCGCACCAACCCCCGACACCCGCGGCCCCCAGGCCGTCCCGTTGATCGACCTGGGACTCCCAGAAGAGGAGGCGGCAGCACAAGTGCGCGCGGCATGCATCAGCTCGGGCTTCTTTTACGGTAAACCCTCTTTGCCTTGCCCATATACGTCTTTGCGAGCTACAGGCTTTGCGAATTCTCACGGGCCATTTAATCCTGGTTAGATGTCCCCACAACAAACCCTCCAGCCCAACTGCCCGTGCGCAAAGTTACACACACACATACACACATACACACTCACGAATCTGCTGCTTCACCTCAGCCGTTTGATCCTTCGGTAGCGCCAGAGTGGCACTCAACCTTTACCACCACCCCCTTTACCAGCACCGCCACCCCGGTTGGCACCGCGTCCCCATGCTTTGAAGCCGCCTTTTGCAATCCTCGTGTCACTGGTGCTGGTGCGGCAGTGATAACGGAAGAGGCCGTTGAAGTAAAGATGTTGAAAAAGCACAACAGCAGATTCTTATGTACCAACTTTTCGCAACTTTTTCAAGGTAATTGAAACATCAGGCAACAGCAGACAAGGCGCACACCTTCCATTACGCCAATGCTTCCGCACACACTCCCTCCACGCATCCTCAGAACGTCAAAAATCTCCAAACGCGCCTCTGGGAGAACAGAAAAGTACGTAAAATACGGCAATGTCTCCTCCTACATGACCCCTCCAGTCCAACCTGCAAGCTGTCTCCACACGTCTTTCTACGGCGGACACGCACATATGACAGATGACCTTGATGGGCTCGATAGGGAGTCGTCGTTGTAAACGCCCCGTAGCGCCAGCTGCTTCACGAAAAACGCTCATCACTAGTCGCCACACCCCGCCTCCATTACACCTCAACCAAGCAGCGAAAGCCGCCAGTATTGTCAGAAAACGTCTTCGCGCCAGCGCCGTGCATCTTACGTACCTCCTGTACTTTGTCCAGCCTGCCAGCCAGCCAGCCTGCCTACCAGTTTACCCACCTGCATGTGCTTACATGCCTACCTGCTGCTACCTGCCCTGCCTGGTAGTGGGGGCGGCCCAGTCCTGAAGTCAGCTGCTACCTGCCTGGGTGTGGCCACGTCAGCATGTCGTACATTAGGAACGAGAACAATGCGGCGGTCCAGGGTGGGTGCTGAACAGATGGATGGACGGCGAGTGAAGACCGCAGACCGAGTGACAGATGACACCCCGCGAGTAAAACTCTAAAACCCTTAAACCCGAGAAAACACTGTAATGGTGCATTGAGGCTGCATTGGGAGGGGAGTATGGGGGTGTGTGTATTGGATGGTTTTCGGACGTGTACGGCGGGGGGGTAAATCCGGGTGTGTGCAACGGGTTGGTGTCATGTCCTGATGCCTTATCAAGGTTTTCATAAGAGATGGATTAGGGAGCATCCATTTTGGCCCAGGCCAGCCAAGGATACGCACGTACTAAGGATGCCGCAGTTAGCCGAGGAGGGCCTCTGGGGCCATTGTACTCTGCTGCATTTCCGATAGATAGACACACAGACAGACAAACACACAGACAGATACACGGACAAACACACGGACAGACACACGGACAAACACACGGACAAACACACGGACAGACACACGGACAAACACACAGACAGATACACGGACAGACACACGGACAGACAACAAAGTACATCATATGGTGTCCTACGTTATCCACTATTGCACTGTCGTGGCTCACCCGTGCGAGAATGGCCTCTCCCTGCCCGCTTTCCAGACCATCCCCCCTCCTGTGCCGGTTCCACATCGCGGTGTGTTTTCCCCCTCGCGCACGCGTTACTTCCTTCCCTCTCCCGCCCTTCCCAAATCAACCCAACCGCCCAACGCGCCTGAGGTGGCCATAAAACCCTCCTTTTTCTTTTCGTTCTTGAAGGGTTAAAATAATCAAACCCAAACTCCTCACAGTTGGCGGTTTCCTTCTCTTCATTTCCAGATCTCACTCTCTGCTATTTCAACCCGCTCTTTCCCCCCGCGCGGCGCCTCTACCTTCCACAAAACACTATAAACACACACACACACATATATACACTATGAAAACACTATACATACAACACTATGAATCTAAGTTCCTCTTCTGGGTCAGGATTTCTCCAACAAGACTTAGACTCAGATGGCTAACTCTTGGTAGGGAAAAAGTTAAGGATTGCATAGCGAGTCGATAGCGAGTAAACTAGATTACACTATAAATCTTTAACGCTCAATTGGCATTAACATAACAGCGACAGTTGGATGCCGGTTGGAAGTTGGCCGTTGGCGCCTTGCATCATCATGCCGTTCCCCTCCTCGTCCCCCACCCCACCCCAACCCGCAGTTTCCAACCATGGGGTCGCCGAGTCCCTGGTGTACGACACCTTCCAGCAGCAGCGGGCGCTGTTCGCGTTGCCTCTGGAGTCCAAAATGGCGTTACTGCAAAATGAAAACAACCGGGGTTACACGCCGTTCAGGGTGAGAGTGGTGGGGGTGGCGGTGAGGCAGGTGGGTGAGGGGGGTGAGCGGTTAGGGAGAAGAGCTTGCTTGCTGCTGCTGCTGCTGTTGCTGCTGCTGATCTTGTTGGCATTACCATTTGTGTCGAGGTTGCTATTGGTGCTGGAGTTGTAGTAGTGGTTGGTTGCAGCAGCAGCAGCAGCAGCACCACCACCACCACCACCACCACCACCACAACAACAACAACAACAACAACAACAACAACAACCATGCCTTCGCCCCGCAACAACACACACACACAGCCCCCCGGCCCCCCCTACACCCTTCAACAGGAGGAGACACTGGATCCCGCACACCAGAAACATGGCGATACGAAGGTACGACAATTTCTGGTTTTATTTAAAACACCATTTCCCCCCTCGGTGATCTCTCACTTCCTCTCGTACTCCAGACCAGACTAAATCAAGCACAAACGGACAGACAGACAGACAGACAGATAGGCACACATGCACATGCGCATAGTCGCGTCTCTGGGGCCTTAATGATTACCCTTCAGGGCATTGCCACCGTACGACTATGTGAGACACACACACACACACACTCCCTCTCTTTTCCCCCGTCACCACCACCTTTTCTCTTTAGCTGCAGCTCCCTCCCCCGAGTCCACAGCATCCGGTCATAGCCGTTCACAGCTTTGGAGGGAGGTAATGCAACTCCAGGAGGTGTAACACACACAGACATACGTACAGACATACGTACAGACAGACAGACACAATGCGCCTGATCACCGCCGCTCATTCGTTCAACCCTCTTCGCCCTTCGGGCGTGTCTTTGTCGGCAGTTAAACCTCCTCGCTGTTGCTGCTGCCTCGCACACACCGTGTTGCGAGGCGGCATTTGCGGGCTGAACTTGTGTCTTAGACCCGACTCTTGTGTCGTACTGTCGTACTGTCGGCCACAGGAGGGCTTTTATTTCGGCCGTGAGATTCCTGAGGATAGCGAGGAGGTGAGTGGGGGGGTGGGGGAAGGTGGGGGGGTGTGGTGGGGGAAGGTGAAGAGTGTGTGTGTGTGTGTGTGTGTGAAAGGGGGGTTGAAAGCCGCAGGAGGAGGGGGAGGAGGAGGGGAAGGAGGGTTCAAAAGCTGTGAGTGATTCCCTTAACTTGTGAACGGTTGTGATGGACTCTTTAGTCATGGGGCAGGGGCGGTACGGGCCCTAGTTTCCGTGTACCCCTCGGACGGTCGGGGCGATGGATGAAAAAGTTTAGGACACAATGGTAAGCGGACTGCGGACTGAAGGAATCACGGTAAACTTGGGCGGGTCCCATCATCGGATTTCGGCTCGGTCGATCTGGATCCGGATTCCGAGACTTGCATGTGACACAACAATTGTTGCTCTAAATCCACTTCGCAATAAATGGTTGTAGTTCTACGCCAAAAGGTCCGCCTCTCTCATCCTCTTGCGTTCGGGCCAAGCAAAAGGGGCCCCCTTTTTAATAAAAAAACAAAATGAAACTTGAACCGGCCCTCTAAAACCAAACCTAAAACCCTATAAACTATTAAACCCTAAAACCAGCCCTTTCCATTCATCCACCCATCCACCTCTCTAGGTGTCGAAACCCCTGCATGGACCCAACCAGTGGCCGGACCCGCAACTGCTGCCGAGGTATCGGGAGGTGAGCTTAGGATTGGGGACTGGGGGTTTCGGAGCTGAGCTGGTGGTTGGTTATGTTAGTTGGTCAGTTCGTTGGCAGGGCAAAACCACCGCCCAAAATGTGTCGGACTTTTGCCGTCCGTTAAGTGTTTTTCCTTTGAACCGGCCGCCTCTCCGATATCGGTACGGGTACGGACAGAGTTGGTTACATTTCCGTTTTTCTTTGATGGACTCTTTTGAGTGCAACTGGTGATGATGTCTTGTGGTCGTTGGGACGTTGGTTCTTTATTTCACCTTCCTCCCGAAGTTCCCTTGGTCATCCTGCATCATACCGACCATCAGCATCGCCATGGCCATATCATCATTAGGTTCCTCCCGGCGATAGGTTCGAATTCCGTGTTTGAGTCGTACACGATGAAATCTAACTAAATGACATTACCGCTACGTTCGCCGTCTCCGAAACCGGCTCGAACCCAAGCCCCTTTCTTTTGGTGTTTCGCTGTATCGCGGCCGTACATTTATGTATGTATGTATGTATGTATGTATATGTGCAGGTGACCTGGCAGTATTACGAAGCCCTTTACGGTCTCGGCATGCGGTGAGTTTGAACCTCTTGGCCCTCCTGATCCGTAGGCAGACGTAGGAAAACGGAGGGGGTGGAGAGAGGAGGGGGGCCCCCCAGCGCGAATCCGCCGAGGGGCTCTTTAGGGGGTGCGGGTGGGTGGCCGTGGATGGTGAATGGGGTTTCTGTCCTCTACTGCCGTACAGACCTTCCAGTTGAAATCGGCCCCTCACCTCACCTCACCTCACCTCAACCCCCCGCGGAGGGGGAAAGTTTGGGGAAGCTCTTCCCGGCTCCGCCCGCTGCTGCTGTTGTTGTTGATGTTGATGTTGATGTTGTTGGGGCTCCCCTTCTCGAGCATTCTTCACGGAGGGGGGATCCTTGGACTTCTTTCTTTGTCTCTGCTCCTCTCGTCGTCTTGTTTTGAAATCCATGCACTGGGTTACACGGCCGTTTAATGACATCCTGTGCCTCCGCCCCGATCCTCGCTCCCTCTCGCCCACACGCCCCGCCCCGCCGCAGCCTGCTACGCTTGGTGGCTCTGTCTCTGGATCTGCCCCCGGACTACTTCGCGGCGGCGTTCGACCGGCCCATGGTGGCTCTGAGGCCGCTGCACTACTCGGGGGAGCGGTCTGACCCGGGGGCGGGGGTGTTTGGGGCGGGTGAGGTGGGGGGAGGGGGGAGGGAGGGGGCGGGGGTGTTTGGGAAACTGGCAAGCACGTGTGCACCATTGGGGGGGGTGATGGGATGATAAGAAGAAGGAAGCGGTCAAGGTGGGGTTTTGGGTGGGTGCGTGCGTAGTCGGTTACGTCTTCTAGCCAACAGGCAACCTCTTAACCACCAACCGCCAACCGTAGGCGCCCATTCGGATTACGGCATGCTCACCATCCTTGCCACGGATGACGTCCCCGGGTTGCAGGTGGGCGGGGCGGGGGGGAGAGGGAGAGCTGGGGGAAACCGTGTGCGTTTGGTTTATTGTGTGGATGTATGTATGTAAATGTATACATGACATTGATTACACTGTGGGCTTGAAAGCCGGGGGGGGCCCAGGGCCGAAACACAGAGCGGGGGCCGGATGCACACGACTGGTTAGCCTCGTGCATTCCGCCCACACCCGGGTCAGACCGCGCGAGGGGTACGACTGCCGGCACTAAGCAGCAGCGTTTCCCACCGGGGGGTAGCGCTACAGCTAAACGGGCGCTAGGTCTGCTGGTCACCTTACAAAATGTATGCATACATGTATGCATGTATGTATGTCTGCCATGTTTTAGATTACACTGTGGACCGCTCAAGCCGGGGGCCGAAGCCAAAACACAGCGGCTAGCCTTACGTGTCTCCAACACCGACTCAGGCTCAGCGAAATTTCGACGCAGCCGCTCAGCTGCGCCTCCGTCCGGGGGATGGCGCTGCAGTGGAAACACAACGTGCTCTCAGGTCCCGCCTGAACGCCTCAACAAGACTCAGCTTGGGCAAACTCCCCTTGGAGTCCCAACATAAAATCAAGAGCTCCCTCCTTAGAGAGCCCCCAAGGGGGAGAACCCGGCTGGGGCGTCCCGAAGGGGTGGGATGTCTTCTCTGCTGCAGCAAACGAACCAAGCAAAAGCCTCTAAAAGAAGAAAGACTCAGAGAGCCGGAAACCACACTACCTCGCTTCGCAGCCACCCTGCGACAACTGACCTCCTCCACCTCCACCTCCCCGGGGGCCGGTCCAGAGGGGGATGCAACAAACCAGATGAGAGGAAAGTGACAACTCACAAACCCGGTGACCAACACCGTGACACCGGGGGTAGACCAGGGGCGAAACTGCGAACGGGAAGACTGTGCGTCGGCGGCACCTAAGTCCTCCGTTGTCCCTTAGCTGGCGGGTCCCTCAACATACTGGCAGCTAACACACCCTGACTGGCTGCTACTTACATATGATTTCTCCTCTCGCCCTCAACCCCCTTACCCCTCCTATAACCCCTGTCAACCCCTCCCCTTCTGTCCATCTTGGTTGTCTGTTTCATTCGTCAGTACTTCATCTTACCCCACCCCTCCCCTCTCCCCCCTCCCCCCTCCCCTCTCCCCCTCCCCGCTAACGCACATTGCATTATAAATCCAATACGCAGATCTGGTTGGGAGCTCCGGAGGACAGGTCCTCGGCGCCAGGTGCTGAACTCCAAAACGGCGGTGATGGCGATGCGAACGCCGATGGCGATGGTGGCGGTGCTGCTGCTGGTGCTGGAAATAACAGTGGCAGTAGCAGTACTGATGGTAATGGCGGAGGGCGGTGGTGGGATGTGGAGCCGATCCCAGGTACCTTTATCATCAATTTGGGGGACATGCTCGAGAGGTACGTGTACGGCGTGTATGTACGTTTGTGTACGGCGTGGGTACAATGGCGGTACGACAGGTTGCAACAGGACTAGTTGTATGTATGGTATGCCTTGAAATCACGAGGCATGCTGTGAGAAAAAAACGTTTGGCCGCTGCGCGGTGTGTGCCCCTTCAGTTCTCTCCACTTCACTTCCCTCCTACTCCAGCACCTTGAAAACCTAACCTTTGGTGGGGGTACCCTTTCTTTGTTTGGGTTTGGGCCCCGCCATTTTCCTTAAAGTCTATCTATCACTTTTGAACGTCCGTGACATCCATTGGTTCGGCAAAATATTAACCTCGTGTGCCCATTCTTCAGAAATTTGCGTAGGTCGGAAAGGGACTGGGGGCTGGGGGGGCTGTGAGGCCCTGGGGCGCGGCGGGGCCGGCTTCCCGCAACCTCACACAACGACTTCATTCCTTCCTGCTTCTCCTCCTGCCCCGCCCCCTTCCTCGTCCCTCCTCCATTTTTACCAGCACTTCTGGCCCTGCTATTCGCCAGAAAAGGAAATTATCCTCCACCTCTATATTCCCCAGTTTATATGTCTTTGCGTGTTTGCATCCGTCGTAACGGGAATTTCTCAATCGCTAACCAACCAACCAACCAACCAGATGGACAAACGGCCGCTACCGGTCCACTCTCCACCGGGTGATCAACACCACGGGGCGGGAGCGCTACTCCATCGCCTTCTTCTTCGAACCCAACTTCGACGCCCAGGTTGTGGCACTGCCCTGCTGTTGCGGCCCCGATAACCCGCCGCGGTACCCGCCCACCACGGCTGGACAGCACCTACTGGACAAGTATGCTGCCACACACGCTGGCTACCATGGCCCGGGGCAGAAGCAGCAGACGCAGGAGAAACAGGCTTAGGAGGATCAGGATCGGGCTCAGGAGAAGTGGCAGGAGGAAGAATGTAGATGCAAATATCAGGGAGGGCGGCGGTCAGGGAGGGGAAGAGGGAGAGGGAATTTCTGGGGTTTGGGAGGGCGGAAAGCGTTGTCCGGAGTTTGGGAGGGCTGGATGACCAAGGAAGACCATCACATCAGTCTGCACTATACGGTGGATTACAGCATATTCAGGTACTTCAGGTCAGCTGGGCTGAGGCCTGTACGCTGTAGCAAGCCCGTGTTTTTCCTTACCAGCAGTGGCAATGGCGCCACTTCCTTCTCTTTCTTCGGTACCTTATTTTGTATGGCAACATGTGTATTCTATTGGTATGGCGACGTGTACCAGAAGTCCGAGTTAGGCTTCATCATCCGTTGTGGATCACTGTGGTCGTGTGGTCTTATCGGACCCATCTAGGGTTCCATGTTATGACGTGAGATGATAGATGGGCTGCAGTGTGCCACATCAAAAATGGGCATTAACTTCCAAAAACAATCTTTTACCTCTTGATTCACACTGTACGACTACAGGGACAAATTAGTAATTATGGAGGTAGCTATGGCGGTTATGCTACCCTTGTCGGGATGAGTATGGCACCTGACCTATACGCTGCAGGAATAGATATTGTTGGCCCATCAACACCTACTTCCCGCCCATCCAACTACGAAACATAGTGCAACGCACGTCGCAAGGACCCACCACAGCTACTACCCGCTAGAGCTGCCGCTTACTTAGCACCTCCGTTTCCAGGGTGGTCACCGCACACGTGCCCCCGCCCGAGCTCCTTACCTGCTGCTGCGACTGCTGCTGCTGCTGCTGTCACCACCTCTGAATCCCGCGTCGACAGCTTAAAAACCTTTTTTATGTAGACCGGCCTACTCTTCCTGATTCCAATATCCTAACCACTGGAGGCCCTGCGACCGCCAGCCCGGGCTCACAAAGTACCTGTCTGCTATCGCCCAGGTGCAGAAGAAGCTGAGCTAAGACGTCTCGACCGTTACCAGGGAACCCAACACGAAACAAAGCAACAACCAAGTCTGCCGCTACATAGCCCCCTATAGGCGCACAGCAGACCTACACAACGTGCAGGGGAGATTGGACCGCCGCCTACAAGAGTCGCAAACGAGCGTTTGGATGTGGCCCCCGGACCTCAATGCTTCGCTACCACAGCGCTTGGCAGTGCGGGCACTGACTCTTCCCGGCGCTCTTGAACCACTTGTACAGACATGCAGGGTGGAAGCGCACATTGCACGTACGGCACACCAGGCGCGGCAGCTGGCCGCCGACGGAGGAGAACACCGAGTAGCAGATCAGGCACGCCTCCACGCCCTCGAACTCGCTGTCGATGTTGCGTTTCCAGAGCGCGATGGCGTCCGCTACGGAGCCATTTTGGTAGCGCAGAAAGCTTGCGATGGACAGCAGCCACTTGCGTAGACGCGCCTCATTCAGGCCGACCTGCGTGGCGCGTTGCGTGCAGAAACATCTGGAGTTTCCAAGGAGACGTTAACATAGGCATGCTTAAAATAGTTCCTCACCAACAAACCGCCCTTTTGGAGCTCCACTGGTCGCTAAACCACCTAAATCCCCCACGCAGGCCAGCAGGCCAGCAAGCAAGCAAGCCTAATCCTTCCCGCACAACAACCGCAAGATACAGGCACGCTAACGGGATTCAAAACCTTGGCAACTCCAGATTAAAACAACCCAGGCGGTCTACACAGAACAAAAACAAAAGTAAATCTGATGGAAACACGTAAACCTGCCTAAGGGAAGGCTAATGACAGTCGCCCCCGGCACTGTAACATTAGACTTTTATGGACGGTCCATGGGGCCTCCGTCTTTGACGGCCCCCCCCCACCTGAGCGGACACTGTAATATATAGTATATATACACAGTATAATTAAATTCATTTCACTAACGTCGGTTGCAGCTTACTTGTAAAGCTCGCTTAGCATGATTATTACACACCTTTCTGCGGCACTCGACTTCCGGAGCACGAAGCGGCATGCAGGCGGGCAGCTTCACCACCAGCTCCAGCACGGCGCCGTCCTCCACCTCCAGCGTCGCCACGACCTCTGGCGAGGACGGGGAGGCGCGTACTGAAAAGCGGCCGCCGCCTCCACTAGGGGGTTTCAGAGCCTGTCGGGAGGAGGAGCGCATTTCCGCAAGCCAGAGAGGGAATTATATGACTTCAACGGCGGCGATGGCAGGAAAAAAACGTATAAAGGCCCGTCGGTGCGCTTCGGAAAACCACACACCTGCACGGACGCGATTGCCGCCGCCACCAGCGCAGGGCCCTCCGATGTCGCAGTGTACGATTCCACCGCCGCCGCCAGTCCCCGATCTCGCAGATCAGTAAACCAGCCGAGTGCTGTCGCCGGCAGAGCCCGTAGTACGGCACGGAAAAGCGTACGGCATGTCAAACATGCAGCCTGCGGCCCTGACGGCAGCCCGATGTCCAGAAGCGCCTCCGCCAAGCGCCAGCGGTCCAACCCCCCGGCGGCAGCGGCGGCGGCGGCGGCGGCGCCGCCGCCGCCACCGCCGCCTGCACCGCGGTTCGGACGTGTGCTCTGGGAAGGCCGCCGCTGCAGACCCAGCTCCAGAACCACACGATCCAGCAGGCCATGCACCAGAGGTTCTACCTGCCGAAACACCTGCCGTAACACAGCCAGACCCCGGGAACCCGCGTCCAAGCTCAACACGTGTGCCAGTGCCAGAGACCACGCCGCGAGGTACACACATGTACTGTTGCTGCTGTCATTGCCACCGGCAGTATGCCCGCCCACTCGGGCAGACGACACAGACGTCGTCGTCGCCCCTGTTGCTGCTGCTGCCGGCAACAGCCACGGCGCCATCTCCGGCCGCACGCCGCCGGCGACTAGGATAGCGACGTCATCACCGTCGTACTCGGGAATTTCCACGTCGTCGGCACCGCTGCTGCTGTTTCCAGGGCCAGAGTCCACAAGCATCACCTGCGGAAGCAATACGTCGCCTAACAGCAGCCGGTATGCCACCGGCTGCAGCGCCTGTGATGCCGAACCAGGTTCTAGCACGACGGTCAACAATGCGGCCACGGCGTCCAGGCCCACTTCCGCCAACTTTGAAGCCTGCGCTGCGACCGCCGCCGTCGTCGCCTTTGCACCCAGGTGGCGCTCCTGCCCTGAGGCCACCAGCGCCCGACCCGCGCAGCCAGCCACCGCCGTCCAGAACGCCCGGTGGCGTAACACCCATGCCTCCACGTGTGCCGATACACCTGCACCAAAGGCCTCCCCGTAGCACTTGACGCCGCCCAAACCGATGGCGAGCTGTATTGCGCGACTGCAGCATGCAGACACCCAGGTATCGTACTCGCGCGACCGAGCAGCAGCAGCAGCGGCGGCACCAGCAGCGGATCTGACGCCGGCTGTTTCCCCTACCATGTCCTGAAAGGGAGATGCGACCACAGGCAGCCAGCCTTCCATCAGTTGGAACTCAATCGGGAGCGACAAAAGCAATTCATAGTGGCAGCGATAGAGGAGTTGATGAATCCTTCAACTGATATGGGTATGACGACACAACGGTACTCGTGCATTCACGTGTACGTCGCTCACTATGTGGTAGCAACAGCAGCTCCAATGTAGCATCGGCAGCTCAACAGCTGCTGTTGACAAGGAGGAGGCACACACATGCGCGAGTTCTGTTGCAACTTGGTCCTGTTGCACTTTAGTTTCAACGCCGTCGTCATCTTCCGTCACTCCATCCGTTCGCTGTCCCGCACTAAAACGAAGAGCGCAATGCCCACCTGCCCCTAGCTCACCTGCAAGCCCGTTATCAGCGGTGCCGCAAGCTGCAAGGCGGCCTGCGCCACAGCCCCAATCCCGCAGCCTCTCAGCGCCTCCTCCGCTGCAGTCTCCAACTGCCGCCCCTGCGCCATGCGCCCCAGCACCTCCCGCTGCTGCAGCTTACGAAGGAGCTGTAGAGCCATGGGCCCCGGCGGCGTGGTGCCTGGCGGCGACTGCAGGATGCTGTCGGCAGCGGCGCGTGCGGCGGCAGCCAGCTTGGAGAGGCACTCCGTCAGCGCCGCCATAGCTTCAGCCATATGGTCCTGTATTGGGGTGTACGGAATGTTTGGATATACGACATGTATCATAGAAGAAGGCGCGTAATCCGGTTGGGTAGAAGGGAGCTTGAGGACGTGGGCGCACGTGACTGCGCGGTGGTGACGGTGATCACGATGTCGCACAAGTGCAAAGCAATGGGTCAGCAGGAGCAGCAGCGGCAGCAGCGGCCGCACACACCTGCACGATTTGGAACAGCGCGAGTAACTCGAGCTGTCCTAAAATCCCCCAGTCGTACGAAATGGCGGCGTGGGCGAGCCGCATGGCACTGGCGTGGATGGCGTTCGCGGGAGGAGAAAGCGCCTCGGAGGAGGCGGCTGACGGAGGAACGCATCGGGAAGCGCCGGCACCGGACTGAGCACCTGACGACGGCGGTGGTGCTGCTGCCTCCACCTGAGGGCGACGAGCAGCTCCCGTGTCAGCATGCCGCAGGAGCTGCAGTACAGAGACATACACACATAGAGACAGCAAGAAACCACGCAGGGGGAAGGAGTCATCTCCAAGCAAAGAGATAAACATATACGTACGTACGTACGACACAAACTATGCAAGAGGGCAAGAAATCATCCTTTCCTTCTGGATGATTTCTGCTGGAAATAAATCTATATCTTTTGTTCCCAATAAAAAAACACGCCCGGCTAGCTCAGTGGTAGAGCGCAAGGCTTTTACGGGCGAAGAAACCTTGTGGTCGTGGGTTCGACCCCCACGTCGGGCGTATCACAAGCCAGGAGCATTCCTGGTCACGTATTGTATTTATTTACTATCGATTTCATCGTGTTATTAGCGAGGGCTAATAACCCAAGGGGCTCCCAAGCTGTAAGGAGGATTGCGGAAGGTCATTTTATTGTTGTAAACCGAGTGTTTCCACCTACCACATGGTGCATTAGCTGGGCCAGCAAAGGCCGCTCCGAAGCCGCCAGACTGCCAGCTCTGGCAGAGCTAGCCAGCGGCGGCCCATGCGACATCGACTCTCCAGCTCCAGCTCCACCACCAACGCCACTGCTGCTACTCCCGTCTTCATCTTTACGAATGTCCAGCACAGGGAAGCACGCCGCCACGAACTCTAACGCCGTTGCCATGGATTCCGTCGGCTGTAGCGCAACCGCTGGCCCGCCTCCGCCGTCTAGGCAGTACCGCATCCAAGCACAAGACAGGCCCGGTAGCCCGGAGGCGCCAAGGATATCCTCTTCCGAGCTGCCCCCGGCAGTAGCAGCAGCAGCAGCCGCCCGCCGTACAGGCCCCGCCACGGAGGGCAGTAGCCGCAACAGCGCCTGAACCGGCAGGCCGGTGCCGGCGGCAGCAACACCATCCGGACGACACTTGGACAACCAGCGGCGACACAGCCGCTGTTGGTGGTACAGCAGCGGATGGTGGTGGTGGTGTGCTGCCTGGCCCGAGGGGTGTCTTCCGCTTGAGGAGGTTCGCTCCATGCATGAGGCCACCTGGCTGAGGGCCCCCATGAACGCCGCCTAGGGAAGTCATTTTAGGGTTTCAGGGGGTACCAGAGGGCAATTTTAGCAGGGAACACAGCGCCCGGGCGAATGTTTTTGGAGGGCAGTAAAATGGTAGTGATTCAGAGGTAATGGCATGTGCGTACGTGCTGCTTTCAGTTGCTTTCTGTCGGATCGAAAGGGCATTCGCAACCAAGTCCGCATGCACCAAGTGCCGCACTGTGGCCGGTGTCTTGTGGTCCAGCCGAGGCACGTCACGCAAGTATATGAGCTCTCGAGCATGTTGGCCTTCCCCATATCAACACCTCCACCCTGTGTGACGTTGTGTGACTGTTACCTTTACGATGTGTAAACTTGTGTTGCAGAGGCCTGTACATGTCTGACGCATTCCGGAGTCTGGAGTCCCACTCCACTCCAGAAGAAAATGCTAACCGCGTGCTCGAAAAGATGTATTTAATGCTCCTCCCCGGGCCGCACTTAACGGCAAGCACGTGCACCCCTGCTTCCCCGGGAGGGGTTCCGTATACAAGATAACCAGCTACTTACGAAACTACCTATTACTTGCGAACAACAGATTCCTTAGGAGGGCTGGATTGGCTTTAAAAAGCGCGAGCTTGCATTGAGGGCCAAACATGGCCGTACATGGCAATCGGTTTAGATCCGTACCTGTGTGGGTGTGAGGTCTTTGTATTCCGCGGGGGGGATGTTGCTGATAGCCTGCGGCTGTGCGCCCGCGCCCGGCTTCACCGACGTGCTCTCGTGCCGCCTGCATTACCGGACAAAGCAAAAGCACCGCGCGGGGATCCCGCCTCACCCTCTTCCCCCGGAGGGCTACACTGCTGGGTGTTAGAAATTTGAAGTTCAATAGAATGAATCTCACTAAATTATGGATTGGCACAACAGGAATGGACGCTCGCTCTATTCACTGAAGAAACGAGATCATCATCCAATGGCCTGTCGTACACTCCTGCCGTAAACACCTGCCGTACGCTATGTCACAAAAAACGAGCAGATACCCTAGCCATCCGCCGGGCATTGGGGCAACGGGGTCAATAAAGCGATTACGCACCTGCACCCCTCTGCCAGCTCATCGACAAGGTTGTCGAGAAGGCGGCCATATGCCCTGCTGTAGCTGCCGCCACCCGCGTCCTTTCCGGCCTCCACTTCCTGTCTCCGCACGCTGCTGCGCACCAGGTAGTTCAGCATCCCCTCTGCTGCCCGGCCCGTAACTCGCCGCCAGGAACCTTCGCTGAGGTCGGGCCGCAAAAGTCGATCCGAGCGGCGGCTTCTTGATGTTCTTGTTGTTGTTGCACCACCTCCTTGCTCATTAAGATCCGTTCCCTCCGGCCCCTCCTGCTCCACTTCCACCACTTCCTCACCACCACCTGGCTCGCTAGAGCTTTCCTCTTGCTCCTCTTCTTCCTCCTCCTCTTCCTCCTCCCCGTCTTCCTGATCTTCGCCATTAAGGGCAGCTGGGGCAATGGTAATGGCGGCAGCATGGTAGCTGCACAGCAGCTCCACAAGCACCCAGCTGCGACCGCTAGTCGAAGGAACTTGGCGCGAGCCATGACCTTTCCTTGAATCCGGTCCCTCCTCCTCCTCCTCCTCTTCA